TATGTTATGCCAGGTATTGCTGCCACTAAAGTCACACCTGCACTGCTGATCCCGGCTGTAGTGTCAGTAACGCCATATAATTCAGTACGCCCACTTTGCTTCAGTCACAGAATGTGGTCATGTGCTAATAAGTATGAAAATGTTAGTAATAATGTACATTTATATTAAGTACTGTGACATTTATAATACATGCGATTATTATGACAATACTATGGTTATAGATATAATAAATGTAAATCGCATAATAAACATTCAACATTGACTCAGCAGGTATTATTGGGTTCTGTTTATGGATAGGTGAGAAATGAACAAGACCAGACATCGTGCTGATTCTAGACAGTGGGCCAGCCATGTGCAGGCCTGTGGTGGGCAGGACACGTTGCATTCTTGGAATTAACTGTGCCAAGTGGCATGAACACAGAAGGGGGACAAGGTGGTCAGAGGCTAGAACAAGGAGGGTCTCAGCTGTTGGCCTTTAACAGGATCAAGAAGAGAGTAAAGGCTTTAAACTGAGGAGACAGCATGGTTAGTACCTTAGAAGACAGTCTAGCTGCAGTGGGGAGAGTGGGTTTGGAGGGGATGCAGCATGAATGTGAGTTGGGAGGCGTAATCTAGGCCAGAGATGATGGTGGCTTGGAGCGGGAACAGTAGCAGTGGACATGGAGAAGTGGAAGGATTTGAAATACTTTGGAGATAAAATTGACAAATCACTTATGGTTTGATGTTGGGAAGCGAGGGCGAAGGCAGTGTTTGGAACTGTTCTGAGGTTCCTGCCTTTTGCAGCTTCATGGGTTCTCAGCCCGCTCTCTGACACTGGGATCCCTGGAATAGGTACATTTTAAGGGAGTAGAACGTGATCATTGGACATGCTAAGTTGAAGTGCTCTTGGAGGATGCAAATTGGATTGTTGTGTAGGCAGTGAATTATATGGGTCTGGTCTAAAGGAGAGGTTTAGGCAGGAGACAAATATTTGGGATAGTTAATCCAGATTAAGTTGCAGATGTGGGGGTGATTGCTTCAGGAATCACCACACGTTGGCATCACTTGAGCGTTGAAGAACTCCCCCTGTCCCCCACCCCGGTGCAAGATTCTGATTTAATTAATTGGGCATCGAGCTTTTAGTGCTGATGTGCAACCAAGGTTGAGACCCACTGGTCTAGAGAGCCTGAGCTGAGATTAGATAAGCAAGTAGGACTGAGCCTTGAGGGACACAAGTCGTGGCCAATTAGGCAAGGGTGAACCTGCACAGGAAACTATTAAGAGGTTGCCAGAGATGGGAGGAAAGTCTAAGTATGGTTTATGGACGTGAGTGAAAGAGTGGCTAGCAGTACCGGTTGCTGCTGAGAAGCCATATGGAATTCGGATTTAGCGGTGTGGACATCAGTTACCGTAGGGGGAGGTATTAGCGGGAAGCTTGGCACAGAAGCCAGGTTGGAGTGGCTTCAGAAGTGAGAGTGAGGAAATGGGACAGCTGTTGGTGGGCAGCGGATAAAGGAGTTTGAGGGGAGAGGTAGTGAGGAACACAAAAGGTATGCCATCATATGAGGATGTTATGGCTGCAAGTAACAAAACTGACTTAACTGGTTTTAATGGTGAAGAAAATGTACCTCCTTCAGAAGCTCCAGAGGGAGATGGCTCCAGGATTGTCATCGAAGACCTAGGTTTTTTTTCCAGCCACGCTGTGTGACTTGGACTTCTGGCTGCTGCCTCAGGATGTCAGGATGGCTCCTGTAATTCAGACATCAGACCGGATATTACAATCTCCAGCCAAAGGATGACTTGTAATCTTCAAAAAAAAAAAAATCACCCAAACAAAAACTACACATCCTGAAAGGTGTACAATTCATAAATATATATGTTGGATTTTCAGAATCCCAACAACTGTAACCAGCAGCACCCAGACCACAGCCCCAGTACCCCCGAAGTCCCCTTGTTCCTCCTAGTCACTGCCCACCTCCTCCGCCAGGATAACTACTATCCTGACTTCTGACATCGTAGGTTGGTTTTGCCTGTTTTTGTGCAATTTAAACAATCATATAGTATGTGCTCTTTCACGTTTGGCTTTCAGCATTATTTTTGAGATCCATAGTGTTGCATGTAGTTGTAAACTGTTCATCTATTGCATGAATATACCACATTTTATCCATTCTTTTGTCGATGGGCATTTGGGTACTTTCCAGTATTTGGCTTTCAGATGGCGTCATCGTGACCACATGTATTCATTTTTTGTTGAGCATATAATCAAGGAGTGGAGTTGCTGAGATGGAGGTCATGCTTATGTTTAGCTTTTGGACATAATTTCCAATGTGGTTGTGTGAGTTTATACTCCTGCCAGCAGCATATGAGAATTTCAGTTCCACATCTTCACTAACACTTACTATTTTGTGTCATTTCATTTAGACGTTCCAGTGGGCGTGTAGTGATGCAGCACTGTGATTTTAATTTGCATTATGTCGGTTAAGAATTTTTAAGTTGAACATCTTCATATGCTTGGGTTTTCTCTTTGTGGAGTGCCTATTTGAATCTTTTGCTATTTTTAAAAAATTTTCAAGTCGAATGTCTTAATTCATTACTATTTTTTTTTTTTTAACTCTGGATATGAGTCATTGTCAGATCTATGAATTTCAAATATCTTCTTAACACTCTGGCTTGCTTTTTCACTCTTAATGTTTTATTTTCACAAACAAGTTACTGATTTTAATATCGTACAGTTTATTGTTTCCTTTAGGGTAAGCACTTCTTGTGTTTTGTTTATAATCTCTGCTGGCTCAAATGTCACCAAAATGTTCTGTTTCTTCTGAAAGCTTGATTGTTTAACTTTGGTACTTCGATCTATAGTCCATCTGGAACTGGTTTCTGTATTTAGTGTGAGGCAGAGCTTAAGATTCTTATGAATGTCCAGTTGACACAGCACATTTCTTACTCATGCTTTCTCCGTGCACTGCAGTGTCACCTTTGTCATCTTGATCAGGCGACTGTACATGAGGATCTGTTTCTGGTTTCTGTTTACTAAAAAAAAAAGAATCTTCACTATTCTGTTGGTCAGGTCGTCTATCCTTAGATAGCTTTAAAAAAATATATATATATGTATATATATATGTATGTATATATATAGTCTTTTAGTTAGGTATTGTTATCTTGTAGTATGTTATCTCGTTTTGTTCTTCGTAATCTCTTTTGAAGAGTGATGAGTCCCCTCAGGTCACCTGACTACCCCTAAGCCAGTCAGTGGAAAGGAGAGGGGCTGTTGCCAGGATTGACTTAAACTAATTAGGAATTATCTCTGAATCTTGCAGTAGCAGGTAGACCCTCACCACGAAAGTCCAGTAACCAGGTAGAGGAGGATGGTAGCTGTTGGGCAGGCTACCAGCACTGTTTGCTTTGGGCTTAAGACATTTTTATTTATTTGCTTTTTTAAAGGCGAGAGCTGAGCATATTAAAAGTTTATGGGAGGTTGTACAACGGTGTGAATGTACTTAATGCCACTCAGGTGTACATTTGAAATGGTTCAAATGGAAAATAGTTATGTGTATTTCACCATAATAAAAAATTGATGAGATGGATTCTTGAGAGGGGATGTTACTGTACAGGTGAGAGGAGGGATAATTGACACTGGGAGAACGGAGGAATTACGTGGCACAGGTGGAGAAATGGCCACAAGAGGAGAAGGAATGCTTTTATTGTAACAGTGATGGGAAAAGGTAGGGCCAGGCATGTGTTTGTTAGTAGGATATTGAGAGCGTTCTCTTTGGTGTCTCCAGTGTACTCGTTGGACTAGGAGCAGAGGTCATCTGCTAAGAGAAGGGAGTTGGACGTTTAAGGAAAGGACACAAGATTTGAAATGATCATTTTACAAAGTTGAAGAAAGATTTGATCTAGAACAGTGGCTTAACAATGCCAAAGGCTCTTTTGGGTTGTTGTAATCATGATAACAGTGCTACCCGTATCCTCTGCTGTGTAATTTTCTCCAGCAATACTTGGCTCCCTAGACAGAGGCATGGAGAAAGCAGAAAGTAGGATTGATCCAGAGTTGGGGTTTTGCCATAGAGCCAGATGTAAAGGTAGGGACAGAAGAGTATAAAGAATTAGTACACATGTGACTATGAAATGAAGAGCCAGCAAATCTCAAGCTCAATAAACAAGGAAGTAAAAAATGATTAGACATGTCAGTGAGTTCAGCCACTGAGAAAATAGGAATAGTCGAACAAGGACGATGGAAGGTACTAGGCTCTCAGGGGAGAGTGGGAGGCCTGAATGAGTGATTTTGTAGTTGGAACAGTTTTGAGTGGTCACTTTCGGGGTGGGAGGAGGGTGGCGGCAGGTGTCTGATCTGGGGTAGCGGAGGCTGTCATGGAAGGCAGGCCAGGAGACCGAGAGATTAGGTGTCGGATCTGTTAGCACTTGACTGTTTACAAAGTACTGTTTTATCATCATATCTACCTCAGAACAGAACAAAATTTTTATCCCCATTTTACAAATGAGAAAGCAGGCCCAGAGAGGTTAATAACTTCTTTGCAGCCCCAGGTGGAGTTAGTGATTGAGTTGGACTAACTCCTTTGTCCTATCCCAACTTCCATGCTCTGTCTGCTATAGCTTAGCGGATGTCTTGTGCAAAAGAGCTGGGAGGTATATTTTTGAGGACCAGAAGTCTTGCTGACCTGTAAAAATAGTACCAAAAAAACTCCATACAAATAATAATAGGAAGTTAGGTGTAGATTAAGATGTAGGTTAGATGCGTGCAGGAAGTACTCCAGAAGTATTAAAAGTGATTAATTATTCCTGGGTAGTTGTGATTGTGACTCTGGATGACTTTTCTCCTTTGTTTTAATTTTCTGTATTTTCCAAATTTCCTATAATGGACATATTTTGTTGTAGATTTTTAAAAATGAAAAAAATATTTTTAACTAGGTTATATATGGAAAATTCAAAAAGTACAAATTGAAATGCAATATATAATCTTATTAAAATAAAATGTGGATATTTTATTTTTTTCTTTTTAGAAATGCACTTGGTGATGGAAAGAGAGCCATTATTCTGAAGAACAATTGGACAAAGGTAGGTTTCTTTTGTGTTATACATTGTTAAGTTATGCCATACAACTGGGAAAAATTTGTTTACAGGATGCACATTTGTATGTAAAAATGCAGGATAAATACGCAGAGGTGAAGAATGTGACAGGGAGTCTTCAGTTCCATAATCAAAAGGACACGTAGGACAGCAGTGAGAAGCGGCGTGTGTCTGAGGGGACAGGTAGCCCAGAGGAGTGTGGTGGATCCTGAGGGTGTGTTAGTGATGGAGACAGCATCATCCATCTGCGCATTCTGGATGGATCAAAAACCTGACTCAGAAAAATGAAACTTAAAACTCAGAAGGAACTATAGGAGACTGTCTTTATAACCTCGGGAAGGGTAAAGGGTGTCTAAAATGACAAAATGCACAGATTAGTGGGGGAAAAATACCTGATAAATTTTATTATATCAAGCTTAAAAACTGTATGTCAGAACAAACCATGAGTGAAATTGTAGTCTGGGAGGAGGTACTCTCTCATTTATATAACACATGTAACTAATAGGATTTATATCCAGAATACACAAAGAACTAAAATAAGAAACCCAGTAGAAATGGACCAGTAAACAAGCATTTCACAGAAGAGGAATTCTGAATGGGCAATAGAAATAAACTGTATTTCATAGTAATTAAAATTGTACAGAGGTAGAAAACGAAACCCACAGAGCAAAGAGCCTCCAAACAAACCCCCGTGTACATGAGTAAATAAAACACTGTGATGTTGTTTGAGTCCTGCAGATTGGCAAAAATGTGAAGAGACCAATAGCCCTGAGTATTGGTGAGTCTGTATTAACAGCTTATTTGGCTGTCACCCCCCGAAGGGCATCTTGGTTGCTTCCAAAAAGCTGCTATAAATATTCATGTACAGGCTTTTGTGTGGCTATGTCTTTCACCTCCTTTAGGTAAATAACGGGGAGTGCAATTGCTATAAGAATATGTTTAGTTTTTTAAGAAACTGCCAAACCGCCTTTCAGAGTGGCTGCACCATGTTGTGTTCCCACCAGTGGTTACTGAGAGTTCCTGTTGCTCCACATCCTCCCCAGCATTTGGTGTCGTCAGTGTCCTTGGTTTGGGCCATTCTAATAGGCATGTAATGGTATCTCATCGTTTTAATTTTTGCTTCCCTGACAACATGTGATGAGCATCTTCAGATTCTCGTTTACCATCTATATATCTTCTCTGAGGTCTCTGTTCAGGTCTTTGCCCTATTTTTTAATCAGTTGTTTGTTTTCTTATTGTTAAAATTAATAATTCTTTGTCTGTTTTGGTAACAGTGCTTTATCCTGGACTGTGACTTGCTTTTCATTTTCTTGACATTGTCTTTCACAGAGCAGAAGTTGTTAAATTTAATCAAGTCCAGCTTACCAGTTCTTCCTTTCATGGATCATGTCTTTAGTGTTGCATCTAAGAAGTCATCACCATACCCAGAGTCATCTAGCTTTTCCCCTGTGTCATCTTCTACAAGTTTTATAGTTTTGCATTTTACATTTAGGTTTGTTATTCATATGAGTTAATTTTTATGGAAGGTGTAAAATCTAGATTTTTTTTTTTTTGCATGCAGATGTCCATTTGTTCCAGCATCATTGGTTGAAAAGACTCTGCTCCATTGTATTTGCCTTTGCTCCTTTGTCAAAGATCAGTTGACTGTATTTATGTGGTTCACTTTTTTTTATTGGAATATTTTATAATGGTTGCAAAAATATTCGTTTATGTGAAAAACACAACTCCTAGTAAGTATTCAAAAAATTTGGTAACTATATATCCAGGTCTTTTTTCATTTTAATTTACGAGAAAGGAATACTCATTGAAGGATGGTTTAAATTTCAAAAGCAAAAGTAGACTGTGCAAGGTGCATTCTTTATTTTCATAAGAATCCTTTTATTTTGGAATTAATCATGAGCTGAGTCTATTGAGTCTCGCCTCTAGGATTTAAGCCTATATAGGAAGGTTCTATAGATTTTTGTGTGAGGGCAGGCCATTTTTTTCTTCTTTCTTTCCAGACAAAGAACTGGTACAATGTTAGTTGTCCTAAACATGCTTTCAGGCGTAAGAGAGGATGAGTCATTGTATTGTAAAGAGTGAGAATTTTTTTTTTTTTTAAGGCAAAGCAACCCTTGGTTGACCTTACAGATTGCCAGGACCTTGTCAGTTTACAATCCCTTTTTTAAATTTTTTTTTATTTTTTATGCCTACAGTACCTGATCTTCCTAGGTGGTCTCCCATCCAAGTACTAACCAGGCCCGACCCTGCTTAGCTTCCGAGATCAGACGGGATCGGGCTTGTTCAGGGTGGCAGGGCCATAGACAAGAGTGAGAACTTTTATGATAGAGTTAACAGATATTTTTTGATGTTTCTGTGTGTATTACCTTTTGATGTTGTTATACAGAATACAAATCAATATCCTCACAAATGTCTTCAAGAGCCTTTTAATTTTTAGGGGTATATTTGGACTCTTCGTGAGTGAAAAAACTTAACTCAGGTTTGGCTCAAGTAGAAAAAGGAATTTGTTGGCTTTATGTAATTGAAAATTCTGGTGTTAGCTTCAAGAATGTTTGGGTCTGTATACACTTTTCTGTGTTTTTCTCAGTTGTACTTCCTTCTTAGCTTCATTTTCCATCTTTTCTCTCTGGGTTTCATTTTACCTAAGTTCTATTGTTGTGTCCTCAAGTTCACTATTCTTTTTTTCTGTAATGTTTAATCTGCCTTTATTGCTATCCAATGTATTTTTCATCTTAAGTGGTCTAGCTTTCATCTCTAGAATTTCAATTTGAGAACTTATAGATTTTATTTCTTAACATGTTCACTTTTTTTTTTAGCTTCTTGAACATATGGAATATATTTATAATAAGTGTTTTAATGTTCTTGTCTACTAATTCTGTCATCTGTGTCTTTTCTGGATTATTTTCAATTGATTGATTTTTATCTTTGTTATAAATCACATATTCCTTTTTTTGCATACTTAATAATTTTTGAATGGATGCCAGACATTGTGAATTTTACCCGATATTTTCGTATTTCTGTAAACATTTTTGAGCTTTGTTTTGGGATGCAGTGAAGCTACTTGCAAACAGTTTAATTCTTTGGAGTCTCGTTTTAAGCTTTGTTAGGTGAGACCATAGTGTTTGGTGTAGGGCTAATTTTTTCTCCTCAAATGATGCAAAACTCTTCTGAGCACTCTACTTGATACTCCATGAATGATGGTGTTTTCCACTCTGGCGAGTGGAAACAAGAATTATTCCTGGTCCTGTGTGAGTGTCGGATGCTGTTCTTGTAGCTTTTCAAGTACTCTTTTCCTGGCTTGGGTAGGTGCCCCACATGTAGGTACTGACTCGTACTCAGCTGACGACCCAAGGGGGGACCCTCTGAAGATCTCTAGAGTTCTCTGTGCAGCTATCTCCTCTCTGGTCCTTGGCCCTGAGAGCTGGAGCTGCCTTGGTTTTCCTGGACTCTTGCTCTGTCTTCTTAACGAAGACTTTGGCCTCTGCCTGGGTTCTTCTCCCTGTGCCATGGCTTACTGGAACAAGCATATGGCAGGCTTTCTTTGTGCATTTCTCATCTGCCAGGGATCACTCTCATGTTGCCTGATATCCAGTGTCTTGCCAACCTTTGTTTCATATGTTTTGTCCTTGTTGAATTGTTTTAGGCAAGAGGGTAGATCCAATCTCCATTACTCTACCTTGACCAGAAGTGTAATTAGAGTGCAGGCTCTCTTGGCTTCATTTTGAAAAACGCTTTCTATCTAAGTGGGAGCCCCAAACCAGTATGCTTAATAACTGTTAATTCTAATGGAAAGATAACCTCTTCTGGTATCTACATAGTATGTCTGAAGGATTTCTCAGACTTGTTCCGATTAAGCCATGTGCCCATCTGTGGATTGATCATTGTGACTTGGAAAATAGTGTACTTCGATTGGCCCTTCTCCTGGGTCACAGCTGTGCTTCTGCCCTAGTGTCGTTGAGATGGAGCGCTAGAGTTGACAGTCTTGCCACTACTAAGTGGAGAAGGGACATGGTGGCACCCAAAAGAAGGGGATACCAGGTAGATGAACAATAGGGAATTTTTATGTGTGTGGTAGAGAATGAGGTAGTGTCAAAGAAGACCACACTTTTCTATTGCGATTGGGTTCAAGAAACTCTGAAATACCTTTAATTTAAGCTTCATTCAAACAACTTCAGCAAAGAGATCTGAATAAAGACTTTTCTCAACCAATAGACATTGTACTGGGTTTAATAGAGTTTAGGGAAAAGGACCCAGTGAAAGGTGAGAAACATGGAGGGAAAAGAGAAAAAGTATTTTTACAAATTTAAGCAGGTGTAATCTATAGTAATTAATCTGTAGTAGTTTATAATCTATAGTAATTTCCTGTGCTGTGATTTTTTTTTAAATGCAGTTATCTGAACTATGAAGTTAACATATTTCTGGGTCTTGTAGCACATCTGAAAGATCTCTTTACCTTATGCCTTTTGAGGAAAAGCAGAATTTAACCAGATGCAGTATCGTTGATCAGTTGTATCATTGATCAGAGCCTAAGTAGTCTGGCTGAAAAATGCTCCGGAACTCATCAGTTGGGTTGGTTGGTGCACCAGAGCAGAGTTGTACATGCACCACGTTTGTATAACCAGAGGTCTTTGTGGTTCTTGCTGGCTTCCGTTACTGAACAGCTCATCTTTCTTTAAAGGGTCACTGATTTCTGATTTCCTATTTTCTCATAGAATCAGAATGTTCTTTGTGAAGTGGGTAGTAAAGAGGAAGGAGCTGTGGACCCAGTCATATCATGGTTCTTTGGTTTGCCTCTCAGTAAATGTGACAGGCCAGCTTCTAGCATATTTCACTTGGAAGTCCCTTCTCAAGTGGAGATGCTGCGCTTAAAATGGAGTTTGATTTGTGAGTAGCTAGAAGAGAGGTTTTCGAGTCAGCCCAGGCATGGTAGTGTTAGCTTTTTAGATTAATGTGTTCATGCTTGATATTGAAGATTTCCTAAAGTTTGCAGAAATGAGGCCAGCCACGACTGTGGTTCAGTTGCAAAAACAGAACAAAGAAAACCTCCCTGATTATTGGAATTAAGAATCAGTGATTTTCAGACCTTTTCTTAAAACCAAGAACTACGGCGTAGAGATAAAATAATTAAAAGCTGGTTAAGAGAGATGGATGGACGATCTAACCCAGATTTACCCATGCTCTTCAGGGGGGTTGGAAAACTACCACAACAAAGCCGTTTCTTCTAGCTCTAAAATTCTTCCGATGTTCAAAGTGTATGGAATTCATTACTTAGAGCCTATTACTGCATTAAGTATTGTGGCAAAAATTTAAGTTATATATAATGAATGATTTTTATACCTTATTTGGCATAAAAATGTATTTCATTCTTTACTAGTAAAATACAAAGTTCGAATTTTTTTTTTGAGGGGTTCAAAAATCTCAAGTAAAAATCCTGATCTCTAGTCAGTTGTTAAAAATTATGAATACTATTCATAACTTTCCACTTAGCTCATTTAGGTAATTTTATTTCCTGAGAGGTATTCACATTTTTATTTATTTTTCATTGATAGGGTTCTAATCTAACATCTTAAATAACTAATCAACTTTCAAGCAAAATATTTTTCCGTATCTAGTTTCTTTAACTTAAGCTTATTTTTGAGAAAAATTAAATTTATCTTTTCGGAACAGGGTCACTATCGTTATTGTGCTGCTCTTTGTATGCTGGGGGAACATGACTGGGCCCTGCAAGCAAACATAAAAGCTCAAAAACTCTGTAAAAATGACCCTGAGGGAATCAAGGATCTAATTCAGCAGCATGTAAAGTTACAAAAACAAATAGAAGACCTGCAAGGTATTTCACCTAAGATTCTTTTGGTTACAGTCGAATTCCCTTTAAAACTTTTGAAGGTGGGTTTCTTGGAATAATGGAGGACCATAAATCAATCCTCAGATGATTTGTATTTGTTTTGTTATCTTGGTCAAGTCACTGAAGTTTTTCATTTCTTTCTACATGGAGTGTACATTAGTGTTATATTCCATTAGGTAATTGTAAATGATTTGTATTTTTATTTGAAACATTTAGCAACAAATTATTCTTCTGTAGAAAAATATGCCTTCTTGAAATTTTGAATAAAGTAAGTTTTTTTTAAACAAAATTGTTTTAAAATTTTCCCTTCGTTATAGTTATTTCCTAAAGAAAAGGCTCTTGAATAAGAGTTTTTGATGTTTTTGCACCTTTTGTGGCTAATTTTTTCTATCTATCAATTAGAAATTAACTATTAGGAATCTAGGCATTCTAGATTTATATTCTGCCCTTGTTTTCTTTAAGTCTCTTTGCTTTGTCCAATACCTGAGATTCCCTACTCCACACTTTCAGTGTATAGGTCTTTGCTGTTTCTTCTTTGGGTGTTTAGTGTCTCAGGAAGCTGAGCTGAGCAGTTCTGTTTCACTAGCAGATAGTGTCACCCAGAATGACAAGTAAAGGTTGTGAGCTCCTTGAGGACAGGTACCATCTCTGATTCACATTTATGTATTACTGCATCTAGTCACTGATTGCATTTAATGGAATGTCAGATAAGGTCTATGTAACATGTCGACATGGTCATAAAACTAAAAACATTTAGAAGTGTAAAATTGCTTAGGTTTGTTTATCAGTTCTCTAAATTTGATGTTCTCGCTGTCAGCTTAAAGGAAATTTGAAAATCTTTTAAAGTATGTGTTGCCAGTGCACTAATTACTGTGCGTGATTGATTTTTATAGGCCGGACACCAACTAGGAATCCAATTAAAGCCCTTTACTCAAGCAGGTGAGTTAATATCAATCTGATCAGTAGCTGTTACTTGGGATGGCTTTTCTGTGAGTTTGATGTGTTAGTAGCTAATAGTAACCTCATTGAGTTGGGGATGGAAGGTGGTTTTTAAAGTGTCCTTGGGTATGATCAGAAGACCTGTAAATTGCCAGCTTTATTTTGCTGTTTTACTGAAGCATTTGCATATGTACATATTGGAGATCGGTAGCCTAAGTCTGTGGGGTGAAAAGAGGGGTGAAATGTTAATGGAGTGTTACTGTATTTAAATGAGACTGGTGTTTGCTGTCAGGGTCCTAGCAGCAGAGAGCAAGGGCACAGTTTGTGCCTTTACCCTTCACCTCTGTCCTGGAAACATCTGCCTCTGGCCTCCTGATGTCTTTTCAAAGGCTAAGACACTTCTGTTAGAAATAGACAGCAGAGAGACTTGAGTGTGCCCACAGTGAAACAAATGGCAGCCGGGGTTCTGCATTTGTTGGCAATTCAGATAGATTAAGCTTCTCCCTGCGTGCTTTGGATGCCTAAGAAATTGAAGCTGTTAAATTTTAAACAGGGAGACTTATTTTAATATTAGAAACCAGAATACATTTCTTGAACTATATTTGGTTTTTAATACCAAATTTAAAATAATATTTATGTATAAAGCTCACTCTCAGAGGTAGAGATTCTTTTTAAAATAATCTTGCTTTCAAAAAAGGCTACAATTGCTGAAACCTGTTTCTTTAAAGGTTGATTTTTTAAAAATGTATACGAATTAATAGAAATAAAATGATCGTTCCTTTTATCTCCACTTAGGGCCTACACACCTAGTTTACCAGCACCTGCATTCAGTACTTCACTTAACTTTGTGGAGACCGAAAAAGATTCCAGAAAAACTAATCACGAAATGGCAAACGGTGGTAATCAGAACCTGAAGGTAAGTTCGATTAAAAACTAAAATAAAAGTTATTCCAAATATAGATAGTCTCATATTTTTACAATAATACTTCGGTGATAATGGAAACTAAATAATTGATCGATAACTTTTTTTGCCTATCAATATCGAGAGAATTTTTGTCTGTTTAATAAATAATTCAGCTACCTCCTACAACTACATAAAGATCATATTTCATCACAGAATTTCTTTTGAAATCACATTCCTGTGTTTTCAAAATACTTTTTTCTAAATTTTATTTTACGCTTAGTTTTCTTTATGTGCATCCTCTTTACATGTATCTCAGTCATGTGGGATGTGGTAGCCTAGTCACCCCACTCGTCACAATGCTTTGGATTTTTCTTTTCCTTCTTTGCAATCTACTTAGTTTCCTGGTATTGCACCAGCCTACCCACCTAGTTTGTGCTGTGTACCCCATCTCTGCCCAAAGGTATTTATTTCCACAGCCTCTGTGGCTCTTAACAGTGGTCCCCACCCCGATTCATCACTGTGCCCAGTGAACCTCAATCCGATGGTTTCTTAGGCAACGTGTTCCAGATAGTCTGTGTTGGAGGTTTTCTCTGAGATGTCACCAAGTCCACATTTATATTTTTCTCCAGGATTTGCAGGGAAAAAGAAAAATGGTGTTTTGGGGTTAGATGGGTTGTAGGCATAGAAGGGAACTTTTTCAGCCTACTGTATAGTTCTTTTGTATTCAGTTAGAGGGGAATAAGGAAAGATGCGATGGTACTAATTCAGTACAGACAGTTACTGAACAGCTGTCCTGTCAAGCATCATGCTAGGTGTCAGAATTGTCATTTGAGAATTTGTCATATCTTACTATAATCTTTTTTAAATTATTTTTTTATTTTTAAAATTTTAATTAGTTTCAAGTATACCGTACATTGGTTAGACATCTATTTAGTGAGTAAAATGTTATTATAATCTTTATCATTTATTTTGTTTGTTCATTTAGGCTTAATAACCAACTAGGTATTTTAGGTGCTTGGATAAATTCTATTATTTAGCTGTTGAATTCTTCATGGCTGTAATTTTTTTGAAAGTCTCACTGATTTTATTTTCATGAGTAGGTGGTAGATGAAGCTTTGAAGATAGACGACTGTGACTGTCATCCTGAATTTCTGCCACCGTCAGGTGAGTTTCTTATGTAAATTGCTGAGTTAATGTAGTGTTGCATAAACTTCTGTGCCTGCAAATTTGTACATATTTCCATGTTCTCCTTTTACTTTACAATACTTTGGTATTAAGAAAACATTAAATGTTTATTTGAAATCTATGCTCATTCTTTTCATATTTTTTAATAAACTTAATTTTGGAATTCCAAATAAAAACTAATGCAAAGGAAAGATGAAGCCCTTCTGGTCTGCTACCGAATTTCCATTAGGCCAGTGCTGTTCAACTTTTATGTCATTATCTCCTCCCAGCCAGGGAGCCTTTTTAGAGGTTTTCCCTAATTGCCTTCCTTCCTGAAATTTAATACCACAGATACTGTTTATCTGTTTATATACTGTATGTATACCTCTGCTTTGTATATAAAAAAGAGGTAGATTTTTTTTTTCATCTCCCAATAACATTTTGGCCCTGTTGGGGGTGATGTCACCCCCAGTTGAGATTGGATGCTTTAGGCCAATACCGGTTTATTTTCAACTGTGTGTGCTTAGTCTGTATGTTTGTTTATACATCCGGTAAACATGCAGACAGCAGACCCTCACTGACTTGGCATCTTAGGGAAATGAAGAGTCCCAGAGAAGCAGATCCTCTTACTTCATGTATTTCTCAGTCTCCCTTTATACGACTAGACTTTGATAGAAACCGTTCTAAAGTGGATTCCATGCTTCCCTGCCCTCTAAACAGAGTTTAAGAAAATACAGATATTCTTGATGGCTCAAGGTTGTTGTTAATACAGTTGTTAATCTTGGGCTTTCATGTGTTAACTTCCAGGGTTATAAGTGAGGTTGTTGGTCTTCTAGTTAGTAATCCTGTTGCCTTCTTTTCCTTTCTGTTATTTTTGGTTCTTTTATTTTCTTTCCAGTGTTTATATTTCTGGCAACCATTTCTGTCTTTTGCTTCCTGCAGGTCTGTCTTCTCTTAGGCTCCATGCTGCATATTTAACTAAGTACTCTGGGCATTTCTATTTGTTTAGCATGTTAGCAGAATCATAAAGAGGGGAAACTCAGGTGATTATCTTACCTGATGTAATTCTAATAGCATGTGAAAAACCTTTTGAGGATAAAACTTTTTTTCTAAAAACAGCTTTTAATTTATCGATATTTCTTAGGCCATAATTACTAGACAGTACATGTAAGTAAATAAATAATAAACAATAATTTAAATACTGTCCACACTTAAGCATCTACATTCAGTCGAAAAAATTGAGGTCCCAGGGCTAGGTTCAAATAGTTTTACCTTAGGTCACACAGCAGAAATCAAAGTAGAGTTCTTCTGCCTTTCTCGAAGCCTCTTGTTTTCTGAGGCCACCAAAACCAGCTCAGGCTCTTTTCCCCTCCTGTTACCTCTGCTTCCGTCTCTCCCCAGAGATTCCATCAGATTCACTGTGTCCCTGTTGTTGGTCTCTCTTCTGTACAACCTGGTGCATGTCATTACCCTGCCTAGAAGTATGCAGTGGCTCCCTGCTCCTCCAGTGGGATAAAGGCCGAGCTCACAGCTGGACAAACAGAAGCACAGGCCCTATACACACTCACCCCAACCTGTCTTTGCAGCCCCCTTCCAACCTCTGTCCTTACCAAACTTGCCAAGGCACCCAGGTTTACTTAATGTTTCTTAAAATGAACTTCACTCTTAAAGTTCTGATCCTACTTATTCCTTAAAACTAAACACAAATGCTGCATCCTCACTAACGCTTTGCCCAGCCACCCCAGCCCAAGCGATTTCTCCCTCCTTTGAGTTTTAAGAGCAGTAAATGTGGAATTAATTTGTTGATAACAACACAGCATCTTTTTTAAAAATATTTTTTTATTTTTCAGTTACAGTTGACATACAATGTTATATTAGTTTCAGGTGTACAGCATAGTGATCAGACATTTATATATTTTAGGAAGTGATCACCCCAATAAATCTGGTGCCCATCTGACACCAAACGTAGTCATTGAAATATTTTTGACTATGTTCCTTACCATGTACTTTACATCCACATGACTGTTTTTATAACTAGCAATTTGCATATTTTAATCCCTTCCCCTTTTTCACCCATTCCCCAAACCCCTCGCAACCATCAGAATGTCCTCTGTCTCTATGAATTTGTTTCTCTGTTTGTTGGCTTGTTTTGTTTTTTAGATTTCACATGTAAGTGAAATTATATGGTATTTGTCTTTGTCTGATTTATTTCACGTAGCATAATACCCTCTAGGTCCATCCATGTTGTCACAAATGGTAAGGTTTCATTCTCTTATAGCCGAGTAATATTCCATTGTGTATATATATATACCACTTCTTCATCTATTTGTCTGTTGATGGACACTTACGTTGCTTCCATGTCTTCGCTGTTGTAAATAATGCTGCAGTGAACATATGGATGTGTATGTGTCATCAAATTAATATTTTGGGTTTCTTTGGATAAATACCCCAAAATGCAATTGTTGAGTTCTTCTTTGTCTCTTGTTATAGACTTTGTTTAAAGTGTATCTTTTCTGGTATGAATATTGCTACCCCAGCTTTTTTTCCCCCCCTATTTTCATGAAATATCTTTTTTCATCACTTTTAGTCTCTGTGTCTATCTGAAGTGGGTTTCTTGTAGGCATAGTATGCATGGGTCTTGTTTTCTCATCCATTCAGCTACCTTGTGTCTTTCGATTGAAGCATTTAGTCCATTTACATTTAAAGTCATTATTGGTAGGTATGTAGTTATTGTCACTTTATCATTCATATTCGATTTTTTTTCTTCTTAAGGAACTCTGACATTTCTTAGAATACCAATTTCATGGTGATGAACTCTTTTAGCTTTTTCTAATCTGAGATCTTCTTAAAGGTTATTGTTCTTTAATTACTGTGGCCCTGTCCTTTCTTCCCATTTGATTGTAAACTACCTGACAGTAGGAACTATGACTTGTATCTCTCTGTGTCTGCTATATGCCTATATAATAATAACCATTATAACTTATCTTTATAATAATTTTATAGCATACGTAGGAAAATATATTCAGTATCTTCTTTCTTGGCTTAACCTGCTTACAGTTATACTCACATACAATATTGCTTCCTTTGCTTCTAATTCAGTTTACATAGTTTTTAAAATTTAACTTTCAAGCTTGTAGATATTTTGGTACAGATTTCAGGAACAAATACTTTGTATTCACAGGTCAGCCTCCAAAATATAAAGGAAAACAAAAATCCCGAAACAATGAATTGGAGAAATTCAGGTACGTTTATCTCTGGTATTTTTGTTTTTTCCCCTTGTCTTCTTCCCAAGGGGGGAAAAGAAAATATCCCTTTCCAGTAGTAGCCATCTTTTACATATGTGTATTGTGACGAGTACTGAAATTTCTTTCAAATATCAAAGGCACGTCTTTAGGAGAGGGTCATTTTTGGCTAGAGGATTATGAATCCTGAATGTCAATAGTGATTTTAAAAGTCATGTAACATGGTATATGTTAGTATTAATTTTTTAAAATTCCAGAATACACGCTTATAAGTGGGAAAAGTATTCAGATGTATAAAGTAAAAATTGGTCTCCTTCCCTGTTCACCTCAATTCACCTCTGCCACTGTTTCTCATGCTTTCCCGGAGGAACTCATCGTTAACGGTCTTTTGGCCATCCCGAAACTTCCTCTGCATGTCAGGCCTGGGTGTCAGGATAGTCAGAGGCCCTGTCGAGTAATTATCATTAGAGGGAAGTATTTACTAATGCACCAACCACAAATAAAATTAGTTCTCCCAAACATATCCCCCCAGAATTAACGACAAACTCTGCCACCTATCTTTATAGTTACTCCCCTTCTGCCGCGCCCCCTTACCTACAAAGATCTAGACGGACTGCAAAGTGAACTTGTCAATCTTACAATAGATACAGACGTTCATGAAGTTCATGAAAGTGACGCTGGAGAAACTGCAAAGCCATGTCCGCCAGTTACACTAGTGTCAGTGTTATCTTCCCTCCTTAAGGCTGACTCCTTCATAGGTGCTTCAGGGAAAACTGTTTGACTATCAAAGCACTAAGAGAAGTTAGTAAAGCTCCCCTTTTTGCAAAAAGGTCCATTTTTTTTGATGGTGCTACAAAAATTAAATACAAAGCAAGGGCATAGAATACTGTTATTCTGTTATTTGGCAGAAAAATCCTGAATCTTTCTCATCCTGCCCTGCCCCACTAAGAAACCAAAACCAAATATATGATCATTTTTAAAATGCGTAGTTATAATTTTTACCTGTTTTGTTAAAGATAGATTTATTTTTCTGACATTTTGTTTCTGTTTTCAAACTGAAGTCTTATTTGATTGTGTCTACCTCGTGGGATTATGTAATGTTAAATGGGACAGCCACTTAAAACAACGCCCTGCAACATGGTAGAAATCATTACTGTTGTCACTGTCATTTCCGTTGTTAGAACATTCTGGCCTGCAGGTTGCTTTGATCTCTTTCAGAATATCTTGTGTTATCTTCCTACATCAGACCATGGGGAATCTACATCCTCCATTTTCATGGTTGCAGAATATTTCATAGTATAGATGTATATTTGAAGAAATTTCTAGAGTGGAATTGCTCTGTCAAAGGGGATGTGTAATTTTAACTCTGATAGATACTGCCAAATTATCCTCCCAGAAAATGAGCACTGTTCACACTCTTACTAAGCTTTGAGAGGATGCAGTATAATAAAATACATAGATAAGTATTTGGTCTTTGTCCCCAGTTCCCAGCACAGAGCTCCTAAAACCCTTAGAATTTTTTGATTGATAAGAGTGCCTTTGTTGTTTTTGAGTCCCTTTCCACTTTAACTGAGTTTATACTAAAGAAGTGACTCAGGGCTGGGCCCTACCTTCAGGATTGGGGCCGGCTGCCAGAAAGATCAAGTATGTGAGTGGAGGTTGGAACTTTCAGCCCCTGATCTCAGAGGAGTTTGGGAAAAGAGCTGGAAATTGAGCTCAGTCACCAGTGGCCAGTAGTTTAATCCTTTATGCCTATGTAATGAACCCTCAGTAAAAACCTTTAGACATCAGGGAGCTTCCGGTGGGTGAATACATTGAGATGCTGGGAAGGTGGCCCTTTCTGGGAGAGCATGAAAGCTGTGCATCACCCCACCTCCCCTGTACCTTCCCATGTATCTCTTCCATTCGGCTTTTCCTGAGTTATATCATTTATAATAAACCAGTAATCCTGAGTAAAATGCTTTCATGAATTCTGTGACTTCTAGGGAATTGTTGAACTTGAAGGGGGTTCACGGGAACCCCTGAATTTGTAGTTGATTGCACAAAATGTAGCTGGCCTAGGTGCCCCATTGTGGCTGGTCTGAGGTGAGGGCAATCTTGTGGGACTGAGCCTTTAACCTGTGGGTCCTGCATTGATTGACTCCAGAGTTGGTATCAAAATTGAATTGAATTAGTAGATGCTCAGTTGGTGTTGGAGAATTGGTGTGGAAAAGTGACAGATATTTGGTGTCAAAAACCCCCATACATTTGGTGCCAGAAATGGTGTCAGAAAACACCAGAGGACCTGACTCTTACCTTTACCAGCATCAGGTGTCAGACTTTCTGAAACAGTTCTATCTTCTTATTAGTTTTTCCCATGGGATGGAGCATCTCTGTGATATTTATTGGGCACATTTCTTGTTTCAGGACCATGTTGTTACTCATGACTGTAGATGGATGATAACTTTTGATGATCAACAAAAATCCTCCTTAATTTACTATTTTTTCAAAAGCTGTTCTTCTGTATCATCTTTATAATGAACTCATTTGGTCCCCCTCCACCTCTAATTTATAGGAATTTTTATTGAGCATTCATTGGCTTTAGAGATTCATTGGGGGAGAATCAGCATCATGGTTAATATTTCTATTCAGGAACCTGTGACTCCATTTACTCAGTGTGTAAAATAACCTTCTGTAAATACGTTTTTTTCTTTATATAAACAGGACTTTTAAAATAATTCAAAACAGTGTTTTTTTCTTTCAGTTCTAGTTCACAAGGTAGTTTACCAGTGGATTTAAAAAACATCTTGGAGAAACAGTTTTCAAAATCTTCGAGAGCTGCACACCAGGTAAAGGAAAAGGCTGTTTGCATGGATAAAGCAAACTCTTCAAATAGAACATTTTTCATATGAATTAATTCTAATCATGTACATCTCTTAAGATGTATTTTTTTTTTTACAATTTAAGTTATGGACATATAACTTAAATATGATTGCTAAGAGACCAAACTGTCAGTAATTTAAATATCAACTTTTTAATCATGTTAACCAGAGATTTAACTAACGGTTAACACTGCGGAATCGTTTGCCCCCTACCTTGTAACAGGAAGAACTTTTTTGGCAGGACTTCGCCAACATAATGAAGATGCTGAGGAGCTTGATCCAGGATGGCTACATGGCCTTGTGCGAGCAGCGCTGCCGCAGTGCCGCGCAGGCCTTCACGGAGCTGCTCAACGGCCTGGAGCCCCAGAAGATACAGGTGAGACGCGGCAGCGCGCACGGGCCTTCGGCTGCACTGTGACTGTGCCGCACATGCGCCGAGGTGGGCTGGGTCCTCGGGGCCGTGAGAGGCAGGCTGGGCTCCCACCCCGCACTCGGGCTGTACTCGGGACTCAGGACACGACCGGGTTTAGACTCTCCTTGCTCTCAAGTCAGTGTTCATTAGGACTCCTGGCTTATTCTCTGTTAAAGTACTAACTCAAGGATCTGGGCTCCCTTTAGTCACATCATTTCATCCAGAAAGAATTAGCTAAGTGAACAGATACTTCATGCAAGGGTATAAGAGAGCAGATGTCTTCATCCGTCATTAGTACCCAATTCTGTGTGAAGGGACGTGACTTCAGTTACTCTTATCCATGATCCATGCCTTCAAGGAACTAGGAGGCAGTTATTCTCTGTTTTAAATACTTGATAGCAACATATCTTTGCCAAATATACTTTCTAATTCTTTTGGTCTTCATCCCAGCCATAGTGATGAGCGAGATTTTGTTACATTTTTTTCTATTGTGCTGATGATGTAACATTGATATAATTGAGCAGAATTATGTTGGTATTTTTAACTGGAATGTTTTCATTGGCAGCAATTAAACCTGGCCATGATCAACTATGTCTTAGTCGTCTACGGACTTGCCATTTCTCTCCTTGGAATAGGACAGCCCGAGGTAAGATTTGTAACCAAAGTAATGAAACAATTAAAATGGGCCATGGGTTTTAGAAGGTATATGAAAACAGTTTTCCCATTTGGGCTGATTTCCTTTTGCATACTTTCCTGATAATTTTTTTCTGAAATACCAAAGTTTAGTTTGTATTTTTTTGAAAAGAAAATTTAGTTTTGAATTTCCATTAGAAAAAAAGCTATGTCTGACAACCAGTGGCACATACTTTTTATTTGGATAAAAAAGGAAAGGACCTAAGGTATCATAATAGTTTGCAGAAACATGTTGAGAAAAGGCAAGTTGGAGAACATAGGAAACACTGTGATACCACTTAGGTACTATTTAGAAAACATACAGAACAGTAGTATATATCGTTTCTGGGTATCAGTGCATCTTGTGTATCTCGTAAAAGTTAAAAAAACATGGACTAGCCCCACATCACATTTAAGATAATGGTTGCACTTAATGAAGGAAGGAATATGCCTGGGTGGTTGAGAAAAGGAGTTCAGCTTTGTTTTATGCTGTTTAATTTTAAAGCACAAAAGTGAAAATGATAACGTTAATATTTCTTAGTTCTGGGTGGTGAGGACTTGGGTATTTTATTATTTCCTAGAGTGTAGGCTTCCTATAACCACATAGTTATACTTTGCTTCCCATGGGTTTGTGTTTTCGATAAAGGTTGAAATGGCAGTAGAATCACCTCAGGTATAATATATTCTTTCTACCAACTTGGGCTCCAAGCGTTCTAGCCTAGGTGAAGGCTTAACCCTAAGGATTAAGCCTTAGGGTTAATCCTTACGGATCCTCATTGCTACCTAATAAGGATCGAGTCATCTTTCCTGCTCACTTGCCCAGTGGCCCAGTGCCTAAGGCTCATTTTCCTTGTGACATGCTGCTTTCCTTGTTCATGATGTGGCAGGTGCATGTCTCCCATGAAGGCCTGTCTGTTTGCTAATAGATTGTTGGAGACAGGACTTCGTGATCTCAATTCTTTTATTCTCAGTAGAGTAATGATAAATATCTTTTGTTTTATCGGAATTGAAAAGATAGTTTATTACATTTGTGGTTTACTTTGAAGTAGTGAGACTGATTAAAAAACAAACCAGTATGATAGCACTTGGGCCTTTGAGAGAATTTTGTCATTCAGAGTACCTCCCCAGCGGGAAGCGATGTGTTCACTCCAGTACAGTGCTTGCTTCAAATAGTTTTGGAAGGCCGTCTTCGGAGCCAGCCGCAGAGCTCCTCCATTTTATACTGACATCTCTGTTTTCACCCACAGTGGAGTTACCAGTGTTGTGGAGAGCTAGGTGTCCTTAGTAATTTTTTCCAAAACAAAATTCATTGAAAGCACAGAGGTTTCCACAGTTGAGAATATTCAAAAGAATGTACGCTAAGCTCTGTGAAGCTATTACTAATGAGCTATTTTTAAGATAGAACATTTGTTTTATGCCAAGGAACATATGGCAGCATTACTGCAGTGTGCCTATGCTCCCAGTGGGGCAGCCCTCACTAGGATATCTGTTATGGCATGTTTGCATCCAAGTCAGTTTTTCTACCATGAAGTCACACCGTTTAATGCTAGCCAGCACCCTGGGCCCTCTGCGTGTGTTAGTAAATGCTCATTTGGTTAGTTGGATGAAGTGTTCAGGGTCAGCTTTTCATTCTGGAACTGGATCACTTTGGTGGTGAGTATCCACATGGTAAAAAAGAAAAATACACAATTGCTAAGAAAATGAAATGCAATAGGTGTAATTTTGCCATAGAAATTTTGGACAAATAGTTGTTTTTAACATGACACAAAAAGAACCTTCAGGTAAAATCTCTTCTAGTATTTCTTTTGCGTGTAAGTGATCATTGTTCTTACTGTTGTTGAAGGAATTATCGGAAGCCGAAAACCAGTTTAAGAGGATGATTGAATACTACCCCAATGAGGGGCTCGATTGCTTGGCCTACTGCGGAATTGGAAAAGTGTACTTGAAAAAAAACAGGTTGGTAGAAACCACACTACTTTATGCTCCAGGCTAGTGACTCATCCAGAGTCTAATTTCATGATGATCCATTTTCTGGAATTATTTTGATATCTTCTGTGGCATACTCTTATAGTTGTGTTTACTTTGAGGACTGGCCTTTATAATACTAAAGTAAGGGCAATCACTTCAGTTCCTAATGCTTTCTAATTTTGAATCTAATAAGAAATTCAGTAATAGAGTAATTTGACACGAGATGTTCTATTTTATATTTTTGTATATATCATTTATAAGTGGTGGCTGAATCGATATAAGTTAATGCTTTTACAAGTTTGATTATATAATTTTTTTGGTTAAATGCCTATTTCCCCAAAATACCTGTATGAAGATAGTTTTAATACAAGGTATGTATGTGTTCAAAGATGTCATGAGTTAGGAATAAAAATCTTCTCTGAATTTGAATTATAGTTGGAATCCTTATTCAAAGTTTACTATGTACCTGTTCCCTAAGTATTTCATGTCTTCTCCCTGAATTGCTATATGATCCTTAGGGGACAGGATTATGCCTTGAGCTTCTAAAAGAAAAAGACCTCTCTATTCCTGTCACTTGTACCCAATATGATGGTAGGTGTGTTTGATTGCTTTATAGAGAAATAATTGTCGAATGGTTGAATATCATTCATAACTTTTAATTATCCTTAAGTTTTCATCTGACTTTTTAGGGGAAATTTTATCAAATGGTTGGTACTCTTGAGATCCCAATCTTAGAGTGTGCCTGGAACTTTCTTTATAGATTTTTAAAGATTAAAAAAGTTCTTTTACTTCCTGGAGTTACAGTCAGGCCAGGCTAAACTATAATATGAATCAGGTAGAGCTAGGAGTAAGGATTGAGCAGTCATCTGTATAGCAATAGCAAATGAAATTAACTTCATAGTTTAGCATAAATTGTCCAGAGCATACCTTTTAATGCCATGGTCACATGCAGGTATGCACAAGGTCTAGAAAAATAACATAGATGTGTAAAACCATTGTGATTGTGGTAAATGAAAAAATCTTTGCCATATTGAAAGGCATTTAAATTTTAATTTCAGTATATTAGGGTGTGAGGTTCAATGTCTAATGTTCTGTTTTTTTGCCATTGTAATGTACAGTTTCAAGTTTAAAAGCCTTCTTATAACTAACTATCTGGAGGATGGTAGTGTAGCACCACAGGCAAAAATATGTTCTTAAATTGGGAAATCATTTCAAGATTGGAGAAAGCAGGAAAAACCCTTTTCTTTAGTCTGAAGAGAATAAGGACATAGTGAACTTTATAATCTAGTATTTCAGTATTCTTTTGTTGAATGGACTGTGGGAATATATTGGCATTTTTTTACAACCATAAATTTTAAAAAACCCATAAATTAGGTTAAAACATTTTATATTTATAGTTAAAACAATTTACATACACATTCATTCTGTCAAAATAATTCACTAGCTTTATGGTTAAAGATAACCAGAATCCACGATCTCTTTAAAATTTTTTCAGCAGGGTGATTTTTACTATAGATATCCTAATAGAATCAAGTTTAAAATAAAAGAATTTCCCTATTTATGGTTAATTAGTTGAAGTGGAGGGTTGCCATTTCTCTACAAGAAGCTAATTAGCTTAGTAAATGAAACAAATAAAAATGGAACAGCTGAGTTGTTCGATTTTCCGTTTTAATTGTTGGAAACTTTAAAAAATAAATTACAACTTTAAAAGGACTACAGCCACTGTTCAAGCAGATTTGTGTTTAATATATGTTACTTTTAATAAACAAACAAAAATGTTATGGTTTTTTAAAGAAAATATAGGTTACAGTGACTATTTTTATGCAGTGATTTATCAAATATTTGTGCTAGTAAGTTTAAAATCTCTGACTTCTGTTGTGGGGAATGAAAATTCATGTTACATCTTTAATACCTTATTTCTTAATAATTTTGACTAGATTTCTAGAAGCTCTTAATCACTTTGAGAAAGCAAGAACCTTGATCTGTCGTCTTCCTGGAGTGTTAACTTGGCCCACAAGTAATGTGGTTATTGACGAGACTCAGCCAGGGAAAATAAAGGTACCCATTTATTTCTGCAGAGCGCTTCTTGCTAACTATAAAAGCCCTTTTCTATGTTTAGCTCCCCACATGCACTTTCCCTTTAAAGGCGAGTGAGAATCACTAACATCTCTTAAATGGTTCTTATGTGCCGGTCACACACCTTCCATATTTCATTACCTTTAATACTTACAGCAGCCCTGCAGGATGAGTACTATGATTCTTCCATTTTACAGATGAGGAAAATTAAGTTTAGAGAGAATAAGTGATGAGCTCAGGGTTAAACAGCTAGGAGACAGTGGAACTAGGACTTGAATCTAGGCATTCTGATGTCAAAGTGTGTATTATTGAGCAGTATGCTCTACTGGTCGGGCTTAGAGAAGGGTATAGATAGCATTGTTGTTTCGTCAGACTTACTGCAGTTATTGGAATGGTACTTGAAAACTAAGAAAGTTTAAACTTAGTCTTATATCCAGAAGTGTAGGATGCTTTGCTAGTGTTGGAAAGGCTAAATTATGTGTGAGGTGCTTTTACTTGTGGTGAACCCTGACATGTGCTCAACTTGCTTTTTTGACCAAAGCTTTAGAAAGCACAGGGGTCAACTCTTACAACTCAATAAGACAGCTAATCTAATTAAAAAGTGGCCAAAGGCTATAGCCAAGAAGTTACACAGCTAGCCACTGAGCATGTGAAAGGTGTTAAACACCATTAGGTGTCAGAGAAATGCAGGTTAAAACCATAATGAGATAGTACTTTATACCCATTAGAATGGTTATATAATTTTAAGAGGTGTTGACAAGGCTGTGGGGAGATCTGAACTCGTGAACACCGGTGGTGGGCATGTGAAGTGGTGCAGCTGCTTTGGAAAACAGTCTGGCAGTTGCAAAGTAGGTTAAAGAATGAGATGACCAGCAGTTCCACTCGTGGATATATATATATGGGGTGGGGGGGAGAGAGAGAAGAAAACACATGTTCTCAAAAAACCTGTACATGAATGTACATAGCAGCATCAAATAGACAAAAAGTGTCCGTCGGCTGATGAATGGCTAAATACAATTTATATAATTGAATATCATTAGCCATAAAAAGGAATGAAGTACTGATAGGTGTTACAACATGGATGAACCTTGAAAACATGCTAAGTAAAGCCAGACACAAAAAGCACATGCTGTATGATTGCATTTAGATGAAATGTTCAGAATAGGCAAATCTATGTATAGAGACAGAAAGTGGGTTTGTGGTCTTAAGGGCTTAGGGGGAAAATGGGAATGCTGATGGGTGTGTTTTCTTGTTGGGTGATGAAAATATTTTAAATTTAAATTGTAGTGGTTGTACAACCTTGTGAATGTGAAACTATTGAACTGTACACTTTAAATGTGAATTGTATGGTATGTGAATTACATCTTACTCAAAGCTGGCATAAAATAAAGCACAAAACACAGGGATCATTGGATTTGTCTCTCTTTATACTAGATTGAGATGGTGACATAGGAACTATTGGTAATGAAAGCCACACTGGAAGCATGGCTTGAGTCTCTTGGCTTCAGTGGCAGTGGGATAATTCTTCAGGGAATGAACAAGCACAGGTGGCGGGGATTCAGGGAGGTAGATGAACTAGAGGGGTAGGATCCTAGGTGAAATGACTTCAGGAAGGGGAATAGAAGACCTAAGCGTTATTCTACCATATTTGACTCCCTCTGAATGCTTAAAGGAGATTTCTAAGAGCTATGTGTTGTATGAGGTTTGACGATTTAGGATAAGATTTTGATTCTAACTTTGAAATTCTGAATTTTTTTCTTCCATTCTTTTTTCCCCCCATCATTCTCTTCTGACATGTCTCTATATCAGACTCCTTCTAAAAGTAAAAAATTTTAAAGTGGCATGTAGTTCTTGGATGAAAAAATTTAGGTTATTCCTATGCCAAAAATATTTCGATGGCAAGAGGTGATTTTTGTTGATGAATTAGTGTTGTAGCAGTATCATTTTTATTTTTGTTTTAGATGCTGTTAGAGAAATTTATTGAAGAATGCCGGTTCCCTCCAGTGCCAGATGCCATTTGTTGCTATCAGAAGTGCCATGGATATTCCAAAATCCAGATCTACATAACGGATCCAGACTTTAAGGTAAATGACAAACATACACTAGGACGTTAACTTGTATGATTGTGCATTAAAATGAATTCAGAACAAATTTTGTAACTGGAGGCACCCAAGTTCTTTGGCTTACTAGCAGGTTTATGTCTTGTTGTCCACCCCTTATCTTGGACCTCTTTTTAGGTCTGCACCATCTCACATGGGCACCCAGGGCCACTGAAATCAGCACTATGGGCAGGGTGGTGGCCTGGCAAGGCAGACTGGCTAATCCATTTTCTCTTTCTAGTCACTGTGTTATCTAACTGCCTCTTCCTTAGAAGCACAGGAGACAAAATGAGATTGTTACCTCAGATTTATTATAATTCTAATCTCATGAAATTTGAGTCCAGGAATCTAAAGGCCACAGGATCACTAAATTAGCACCCAGAGACCTAAGTTTGAGACCAAGTCTGGCACTTAATTGAGTGAATAAGTTAATTCAGGAAGCTGAGAGCTGCCCACTGTGGCACTATCCTTGGTTAGTAAACAGATGAAATAGTGTTTATAAAATGTTTGATACATTGTAAAGGATAGTGCAGCTGTAAGCTGCAAGCTGCACTATCCTTTACAATGTATCAAACATTTTATAAACAGGTCAGTCAAGCTCTGTATCTCTGGCACTAGGCATTCTGGGGTACGGAAGTTTGGATCCCCCATGAGGAATGTGGTGTCTAGTTATGTCTGCAAGGTGAATGTAAACGGCTCTTTTTATCTTGATGTGCATTGTGAGTGATTGAGTGAGAGACAGAGACAGAAGAAACCTTTAAAATGTGAATTAAAGAAAATTTTAAACCCTCAGGGTTTTATACGAATCAGCTGTTGCCAGTACTGCAGGATAGAGTTTCACATGAACTGTTGGAAGAAGTTAAAAACAACAACCTTTAACGATAAAATTGACAAGGTAAGACTAATAAGATTATCTGGATTTTTTAATTGGTTTATTGTACATTGATTTTTTCCCTTGAGAATCTTAAGAGAATGTCGAATATAAATTCCTTCCTTTGCATTGTAGACGTAATCAGAAAGTTTTAATTAAAACTTTAGTGATAAAGCAGAAAATAGTTTTGTTTTTAATAGATGTATAAATAACCACGAAGATCTTCAGCAAATTGTTTACCCAGCCTTCACACTGGGAATGTTAGGCTCGAGCATAAAAATTTTAATGTTTCATTTTAAAATATAGGTCTTATATTATGTACTGATGATTTTAGTCCTTCAAGGATCTTTCATTTAAAGTTATGATGTAAAATTGAGGTTTCATATTTTTTATTTCCTACCAAAATTTGATGAGATAATTTGTACTAAGGAGAATCAACTTAAATTTTATGCTACCACTTCCCATTAGGGTTTCTCTTAATTAGCAGGGTAATGATGTTAATTATCATTAGCTAGGTATACTTTGAGAAAAGGCACAGTTTGAAAATCTTATTTGTATTCATAGAATTTGTTTCTGATTCATGTAAGCTATGTACTTAAAAAACAAAAACCTTTTTCTACACTGCATGACCTCATGTAAACCCCTGTTTATTGGGGAAAAAATGAAGATGCTTGTGCTAGATGAGTGTTAGCAATAGGAGTTATTCAAGTTTGGTAGAAATAAATCTTCACATTTTAGACATTATATAGTTAACTAGAGATACAGGATATGAGCAAATAACTATTGCTGTCGGGCCACTTCTGCTGTGTCTTCGTCTTACCATGATGGCGTTATCTCCTGCTGCACATGCTCCCTGAGTGGTCTTAGCCATTTCCTGGATTGACATACCCTCTGTACATTAGCTTTCACAGGGATATACTGAAGTAACACAAAACCCAAATATCTCATGACTCAAAATAACAAACGTTCATCTTGCTTACATTGTTCGTGCTGAAGTCCTGCTGGCCAGTGTGGGGCTTTAGCAGCTCTGGTCCGTGTGGCAACGTTCTTTGTGTCTGAGTCAAGAGTGCCTGGGATGTGTTCTTGTGGCAGAGGGTGAAGATCAGTGGCCAGTCCAGTCAGTGTTTCTGAACGCTTTTTCTTGGACACGATGTATGTCGTGTCGGCCCTCCTTGCTTTGACCAGAGCAAGTCATGTGGTCAGCGGTGTAGTCTTGCAGGGAGGCCCTGAGAGTCACATGGCAAAGGACAGAACTTTCATTGCCTCCTGAAGGAGGTGTTTAACCATATTTTGACTGTTTCTGATGGTTAAAATGGTATACATGTACAGATTTATTCTGCGATATAGCACTTTTTTTTTTAATTGAATAGGATTTTCTACAAGGAATTTGTCTTACCCCAGACTGTGAAGGTATCATTTCTAAGATTATCATCTTCAGCAGTGGTGGTCAAGTTAAATGTGAAGTAAGTATCTAATTCAGGGGAAATCTTACTAAACTGATGACCAGAATGCTTACACCTATTAAAACACAATTAAAATTTATGAAAGTTGTGCAATTTGGATCTTTTCCAGGAAATAGTTACTTTTTAAGAAAATAGAGGAAATACTAGGATATGAGAATGCTTCTTTGCAACAAAAGAGTTTCGCATTATTTTATTTCTTAACGAGAATAGGAGGCTTTTTACATTTTAGTTTTACTGTTGTCACTCTTTTTGATAACCTCTTTTCTTAAACTCTGGTAAACTTTTTGAGTACTGAAGGTGGGAGTCCTTAGGGAGAGGGGGAAGGCTGTCTTAGGGGTCACCTGTAACTTCATTATGTGGAAGTGGCAGGAGAGAGTTTCTGTAATGATATAGTTTATTTTGATCTCCACTTACTCTTAGTTTTTAAAAAAATTTCTTGCTAAAGTGTGTCTACTCATTCCTCTTTCCAGTAAATTGTTTGCTAAAGTTTTCCAGGCTCTTTTTTCTGGCTCAGAACATTACTTTTCCATATTAAATTGAACATTGTGCTTCTGAAATGCTTGTTACTTGTTTTGTGCTTTATGTCATTGGAGTATGAGACAAATTTTGGATGTCTTTGTTTTATTTAAAGTTTGAACACAAGATCACAAAAGAAAAGGTTCTTCCTCCAAGACCTATTCTGAAACAGAAATGTTCTAGGTAAGATTTTTAACAGTCAGTAGCTTAATGATGTCTCAGAATATAATTAAATGCAAATTTCTAAATTACGCTGTTTTTTAAATGGGCTGTGCACATCTATCCAAATAAGTGGTTTTTAAATTATTTTTATGGATATATAAAATGTAAGGAGAGCTAGCCTGGAGTGGTTAAGTACTGAAAACGTGAATCGGAAGCATTATTTAGTGGTTGAATTTGTATGTAGAATTATGACATTTGATGCTGTGAAATGACATTTGATTAATACATGTGGCAGTTAAATTAAAAATTGTATACTTACTTCTTAGCTGTTCAATTTCAAAAAACGTATTTACTTTTTATCTCTCTTCAGCGGACATTTTGAACCAGTGACATTTCTCACTGAAATAATGTACTGTCAAAATTATTTACTTCTTTGTATCTTCTTGTTTAGAACAAATAATTTTAGTTCTATTTTCTTTTCTCTTTGGTCTTGCCACTTGTTTTCTAAGAATTGATTTTTTTCATCATTGGTGACCAAGAAAAAGCAAAAGAAAAGATGAACAGAATTATTTGTGGAAGAGAATTTACTGTAGTCATATCAACCAAACTGCAGTGTTGTGGGCCATCATTGGGATGTGAAAATAATATTTTACTGTGGAATCCTGTATTTGAAATGAGTGTTTACATGTATTATCTTGCAGAGTAATTTTTATTATTTATATTTTCCCTGAGCAGTAACTTATTAACATGGAAATAACATCTATACAATCTATATATGCCATCTTTATACTTAAAGTCATTTAGTCATTGAGGTTTGTGTTTTCATGAAACAAATATCCTTCGTTTGACTAAATTGATCACATGTATCAACAGTTTTATTGAACAGAAGATGCAGGCTAAGTTCTAACTGAAAGGGAATACTTCTAACTTATTGTTAGGAGAATAGTTTCTCTAGCAAGCCAAGGAAAATAGTTGAATTTATGACAGAAGTGAATTATCACTAACTATAAATGTTTATCAGTCTAGAGAAGCTGAAACTGAAAGAAGACAAAAAATTGAAGAGAAAGATCCAAAAGAAAGAAGCAAAAAAATTAGCACAAGAAAGAATGGAGGAGGATTTAAGGGAAAGTAATCCACCCAAAATCGAAGAGCAGAAAGGTATGCCAGAGTCCATGGCACGATAAGAATGATGTGCGCTATTGGGCCTTATGTTAGTTGTAACCGAATTGAAATTTAGATATCAGTTGATACTTAATACTACCACCGGCTTCTATTACTCTGAAATGGGGAGGGGTGGTGTAAAGAGCACTGATTTAGGAAGTAGTGCAGAGAGGAGGGGTGGATTCAGAACACCACCAGCTGCTGACCTGGGGTCGACTCTGTACGCAGCCTCACCTCTAACAGAAGGTGAGAATAAGATCCAGCATATTATGTTTGACAGTGCTCTGTCAACTCCACTAAATGGATTTAACTTCTAAAATGGTAAACTGTAAATTAGCTGTTAATTATGTGAAATAATGCATAGTTCAGATAAAGAAACGGTTCATAAAAGGCACCAGGGAGGTTTCCCAGTCCAGCCTTTTGTTTTATGATCAACTTGTCATCACTCCCTGATCCACATGGGACCGTCTTGCTGGTGATGTCGCTGTTTCTGTGGCCATGTTGGTCCTATGTTTACTTTCAGTTTTGACTTGAAATAAGTTATTCTCATTTTCTACTAGGGTGGCTGTCTCTAAAATGAGGTATTTTCACCTGCTGTCTTGATTTTTCATCTAGTATTCCGTGAATGGTTCACAAATCAGTCAAAACGATCTTTCCCACTGAAAAAGTTTTCAGCGAATGTTTGTCTTTTAATTTTGCATGCTTCAGGGGGCTAAATGGGCATCCATTAGGGAGAAGTCTGGGTGGGAAGATGAGCTGAGATGTTTTCCAGCTTGCAGCCGGTGAGTCCGAGTCCACAGGTCTGCAATTCAGGATCCAACGATATGATGAATAATATAACAATAAACCACAAAGTAGTTGAATTCATAACTGAATAAATGATCCCTTCAACTCCAAAAAAAACCCTTTTGTATTCTTAATGCCTTAACAAGTTTAATGAACATAAAAACAAAGAATCTACGAGTCATGTTTTATGTTATGTAACGTTACATTATTTCTTTCTGCGTTTGTGTTTGCAAATTAGTCCTGTTTCTCACTTTAACGAACCACTGTTATTTATCCTTAGAAACTGTAGCCAGTGCTCAGAGTTGCCAGTTCCTGAACGACAGAATTCTGCAGTGCATAAAGCAGTATGCCGACAAGATTAAGTCTGGGGTACTGAATACTTCCAAGCTTCTCAAAGAATTGCTTTCCTGGAAGGTTTTAAGCACAGAAGACTATACAACCTGTTTTTCCAGCAGAAATTTTCTAAATGAAGCAGTGGACTATGTCATTCGTTACTTGATTCAGGAAAAGAATAGAGTGAAAACACGGATATTTCTGCATGTATTGAGTGAGCTCAAAGAAATGGAGCCAAAGTTGGCCACCTGGATCCAGAAACTTGACAGCTTTGGTATGTCATTGAATTCCAGAGGCTCAGTTTAGTAGGAAGGGTGAATGTGGGTCTCCGAGTGGACCTACATTTTTCATTTTCCTATTGTTTGTGATTTTTTAAAATGTAAGACTGTAGATTTGTATGGTTAAACACACTATTTCTCCCCCACTCAAAATTATTAGGTTATTTTACAGGTAGATTACAATATACTTTTGGAAAAGAAAGTTCAGTTGGTTAGGAGATCCTGCGTTATGCTGAGCTGGTTGTCAGCGTGTAAACTGTGAGTGCTAGGCACAGCCATGGCACGGAGCACCCCTGGGGCCAGCTGTCTGTGCCTTCTGGGATTGTGCGCAGCTCAGCACTCAGATTCCTTGACGAGAAATGGAGGGAAGAGTGGATAGAACTGCTTAGGTACATATGCGTATTATATAAAGTTGTAGTTTCTATTTAAAGTTGTAAAATGAGTTCAAGCCCTGGTGGAAAGCTCATGTTTGCTTATTAAAAACAAGTAATTTTCAATTCCTGGAATTTTATTTTTCACAAAAAGTCTATACAGTGGAGTCATATCATGCTCATATTTAACATGAGAGATCAGTTTATATGCAGAAAGAGGAAGAGAAAGGGGAAATGAACCTTTCAGTGCTGGGCGTGATTGCTGCCTTCCCCTCGCCTGCACATGCTCTGATGTGAGCCTTAGGTGGGGGGCGGGAACCGCTTTCAAAGATGTGAAACTGAATATGATTCTGATTTGGACTTTATTTTTATTACAGGCTTAGATGCTACAGGATCTTTTTTTTCGCGTTATGGAGCATCTCTTAAAGAGCTTGATTTTAGCATCATGACTTTTCTTTGGAATGAGAAATATGGTCATAAACTAAACTCAATAGAAGGAAAGCAACTTGATTATTTCTACGAGCCAACGTCATTGAAGGAAGCGCGATGTTTAATATGGCTGCTAGAAGAACACAGGGACAAGTTCCCAGCATTGCATAATGCTTTAGATGAATTCTTCGATATAATGGGTATGTGGGCCAAGTTTCAGTTTATATCTAATCGTAGGGAAAAAATATCTGAAGGACCTAGTTCATTTAAAAACAAAGAAAATTGTGAAAATTATCATGGTGCAACTGGCATATTTGGGGAGGTTAATGATTAAGAATAGTGATTTTTTTTTCATGTCATCATTAAACCTTTTTACTCTATTGAGCTAAGTGTTGGAGAGATACTCAGATGGGTATGTTACACTGACTATATACCATTACTGTTTTCATGATATTTTGTCAGCGTCGTGGCAAAGATTGCACATTAAATTGATAATTGTTTAAAGAAATCGTTTGCTTTATAGCAGTCAAAACATTGGCCTGCAGATATAGGTGATGTTTGTGGAATCTAGAACAGAGAGCACATCTGTGGTAGTGGGAAGAGCCTAGAGCCAGGAGTCAGGAAAGATAGGCTGTGGCCCATCTTCTTTTCCGATTCGTTTCATTAAAAACCTCGTTTCTCCTGCTTCAAGGCCCATGCTAGGTGTTAACAAGGAATTCAGAAATGCTCATGCTAGTTGCTGACCTCAGAGACCTTCTGCTCTACAAAAGGGCACAAGATAAATGTGATTGTAATGTGGGAGTGGGCTCAGTAAGAGAGTACCAGAAACGTGGGTTCAGACGGAGGAAGGGGAGGGTCTGGTGCGAGGTGGCCTCCGAGCCGGGCTATGATGGAGGTGGGGTTGGACAGGTTGGCATCGGGCTTGGAGAGGCAGGTTGCAGGGAATTGGGGGACCTGTTTAGGTAAAAGTCCAGAGTCCAGTGTGGCACAGTAGGTAGCTAGTAATTCATTCCTCAGCTTCTCCGCAGTCTTACTTTCTTCGTCATGAAAATGAGAGGATTTGGAGCCAGTGATCTGTGTGGTCCCATTTTACTTCAAAATTCTAATATTTTAGATTTTGATTAATTCACATTTATCTGTGGTACTACATGTGTGTCTTATGATAATGCTCCCCACTTTTCCTCAGCATCAGAAGCTATTTTATATATTGTTGGGAACTAGACTTTTAAATTTTACGTTGTTTGTTTAGAGTGTACATTAAAAGGTCTGGCCCCTTAGAAAATTGTAGCTGGTCACAAAGTTCAAATGCAGTATAAGGAACTGAAAAGCTTTTCTTTTGTCGTAGTTCTTAGGAAAGAGCACACTCAAATATAGATGGCTTTATTTTTCTAGGACAGTGCTTCATGACTGGAGGTGACATGGCATGCTACTTTGTAGCCTGAATTTATTGCCATCAGTTTTCTGTTGCTGGTAGTGAAATGCTGTCCTGGGACTGAGCTTACGAAACCATGTTTGGGTCACACAGCAAGACAACTTAAAAGGACACAGTTCCCTCCCACTGTGCATTTTCCCTGATCCTTGTGTTCTAAACCTAAAATGCACAGTCCATCCAGTTGTGACTATTTCTCTGCTCTCAGTCGTAGAGTTAGAAGTCACCAGCCAAATGACTGACCAACAGACTTTTAAGTTCCATAGTTCTGCCTCTCACCTTCACCCTAGACATTTTCAATTTTATCTCCTTTCATTGAAAGAAATGATTGTATTTTTTAAAACTTAAGAAAGTCCTCTATCTTATAAATAAGGAGCCCAAACCCCTGAACTCTGGGTGCGCGTTGCCATTTGTGATTTCTCTGTAGACAGCTGAGAGGCGCCTCGAGAGCAATGTGGCTGAACCCACTTATATCCCACTTATTTTCCAAATTTATCTCATTTAATAACACTGTCATATATCGTATTTTTAAACAGGAAACTCTGGAATTACCCTCAATTCTTCCTTTTCCCTATTTCCCCATATCTAGCTTGTTAGCAGTCCAAATAAGCTTTATCTTGGACCTGTGATTTTCTATTTCCACTTCCCTAGGCCAGGACCTCAGTAATCCTCCCATGATTAGACTGTGACAGTAGTCTAAACTGGTCTCCAGGCCTCTGGACCCTCCCACTCTAAATGTTCCTCTTGTATTACCACTAGTGACTCTTAGAACATCTGTCTGATCCTCTAATTATTTGGTTTGGGAAACGCTTGATTTTACCTGCAGGTTAAATTCTCATCGTGTGTCCACGTTCGTCATCACTCTTGCCATCTGCCTCTGAATGAGCACCTGCTTCTTCCTGCATCCAAACCTGCCTTGTGCTTTCTTGCCCGCCTCCTTCACTTGTGCAGTTCCGCCAGCCACGTCCCACTCCTTTGCTTTGCTTGTTCAAGTGCCCTCTTCCCCAAAGCCTTTCCTGATCCCTCCTTGGGCCTCTCCCCTTGAAGACCATTGCTCCATCAGCTCAGTTTCCATCGTATCCATTGTGGCCCTTAGCTCATAGCTCACTGGGTTACAGCTATTGGCCTGTCGGTCTTCTATGCAGAGGGGGGCTTGTTGGATGGCAGAGGCTATTCCATGCATCTCTGTATTCCCAGCGCCTTTAGAGTTTGGTACCTAGAAGGCACTCAGATTATGCTGAAGTGGATTGAAATTTTGCGGTTCTTTATAGTTGGTTCCCCATTTAGTTAGCTGTTTTGCCCTTGGTTTCTTTCTTTCTTTTTTTTTTTTTAAATGCCTGTAGCACCTGGTCTTCCTAGGTGGTCTCCCTTCCAAATACTAACTAGGCCCGACCCTGCTTAGCTTCTGAGATCAGATGGGATCAGGCGTAGTCAGGGTGGCATGGCCGTAGACGCTCTTGGTTTCTAAACTAGACTTGTATCAAAGCCAAATAAGGCATAGAACATGGTCTGGGTTGGTAGTGCCCGAGGTGGTTTTCCTTAAGGCTTTAGTGCACCGAATGGTATTGTATTTCGTTTCCTCACCAAACCATCTGTATCTCCCTACAGACAGCCGCTGTACTATATTAAGGAAACAAGACAGTGGAGATGTGCCGGTGAGTGATTTGGTCACTGTCAGTGTTATGTTCTCATTGGGTTAGCCAAAGGGAGAAGACCCAGGCCAGTGTGCAGTTACATCTAGGTGGCACTCCAGAACCAAATCTGGAGGACCTCAGGTAAAGTTTGCTGTTTCATTAGGAAGTTCATACCCATCTTCCTGGAGCTGGAGCAGCAGTCAGCAAGCTCAGAGGCTTACGTTAGACAATGGCCGTAAATGTTAGTCGTGAAATTCGAAAGGAATTCTTAAGTCATCTCCTGGCATAAAAATGAAAAGTTATCGTCAGGAAAATTCTAATGTTTTGTGCAGTAAGGAAAACAAAGGGACTTTGTTTTGAGTAGTTTCAAATTGAGTTTAAGTTAAATAATTCCAGAGTCGTCTTCCTTTGTAGGTTGTGGCAGTTTTCAAACAGAAAGACACCGTTTGCCGATTTTTAAGATTAAGTCATCTATACTTGGAATTTTGTCTTAATCCATTCTATCAAATACTGCCTGGCTAACTATGGAAGTTAAGTGCTTCCACAGTTACTATTTGTGCCCCGGTGTCTGGCCATGTGCAGAATGTCTGGTTTGCCTTAGTAAAAGGAAAATCATCGAAATACTGTTAGCACATAACTGGAATTACTTTAAAAGGCTGATTAATTACTTGGAATGTTATAAACCCTATTAAAAATGAGTTTAAAATGTTGGAATAATGTAATTTTAGTTATAACATTAGACATCATTAAACTTTTTCTTAATTTCTATCAAATCATAACATGTGGGCTAACACTGTAGTGTTATTTTTGTAAAGCATTTTATGTACTTCAACTTATGATTGGTCTATGAAAATCATCATGGTATCTTTATAATGTATAGTAGCTTCCATAATGCTGTTATTTCAGTATCCAATGATTTCCCCCCGCCCATTTTTTAGTTTAATTCTACCAAGATAAAAAACAAAGGGAAGAAAAAGAAGCCAAAAGATTCAAAGGTAAGGAGTATTTTCTGTATTAATTCTTACCTAAAATAATTGGATAATGTAAATTAGAATTAAGTAAATCTTGGGGTATTTTGAAGCATTTTGTAGAGAAGACTTTCTGAGTGTTAATGTAAAGATATTTGGCAGTCTTCTACACTTTTACCTATATTGCCACTTTTATTTTCTAAATATTTCTGAGTGAAAACGTTGTCATAATGTAGGACTCTGGGTGGTCATAGAGCTGAGTGACCAAGGCAACTTGCGGGCAGATAGATTCGAGTTTATTTATATCTCGGTTCTCTGCCAAATTTTATTATTTGTTACAATTTTTATTATCTATATGACTTCGGGCAAGTTATTTGACTTCTCTGTGCCCTAGTGTCGTCTTCTATATAAGACATGATACCTATTATCAATAAGTAATGGAGTTTTTATCTAAAATATTCAAACTAAAGGTGGTGAATATTGATCATCGTAAGAGAGTCTCAGGACTGATAGGCTCCCTTCTTCCCTCCCACCCAAGGCTGTGCTCTGCAAGGTCATAAGGCATTCTTTTTAAGTCCTGCAGTGGGTTCTTCGTGACTCTCATGTGTTTAGAGGGTCAAGTAGGGTGAAGAGAATGAACAAATATTAGGGGAGGATGAGAGCAGCTTATAAATTACAATAAAACTTTTCATTTTACCTTTGACTATATGTTTTCAGTTTATTTAAAATGGGAGCTTAAATGATGTGACATTTAAAATTTGGCAGATGTTGGAAGCTACCTAAATGTTAATTCGGGCCTATGTTTGGCTGTTGAAACTTTTATTATTATGTGTTTCTAGTTACAAGAAATTTTAACTAAGTGTCATATATTGGCAGTTTGTGTGTGCATTTATATCAGTGTTCATCAGTTTTAATGGTAATTTTAAGATAAAAAATCATTTTCATTCTTCCGTCTTTTAAACCAGCCTATGTTAGTTGGGTCTGGAACAACCTCAGTAACACCTGGTAATGAGACTGTCACTCCAGGAGAAGAGCATGAGTAAGTACAATTAAAAATTTTTACTTCCTTTTAACTCAAGTATTTTAACTTAGTAGTGTTATTTTAATGTACTTTAAACTTATATTTTGTTTCCTTAATTTTCTGTTTAAAGATGTGCATCTGTTAATGGCAACGCGATGTGACTTTATAACATGTTTGAATGTATAGCATGGCTTGTCCACATTAAGAATTCATACATACTGCATTACAGTCATAGGGCCAATGACATTAATTTGATAGATTTGAGAATCTACTATGTGCAAGAAACTGTGGGAAAATCCTAGGTAATAGTCTTTAAAATATTCAATGAAGAGAATGTCCTGTTGATCATTACTAGCACATTTGCTATAGAGGAAGATGTTTTGCAAGCTATATGTCATGTTATGGTTTAAACTTAGATATTAGTGATTTTTAATAGCATCTGGTTGTCGAAGCTGAGTTTTCAAGAAGCAAATAGACGTAGAAGAAATAAAACTAGTGAGTAGCAGTGACCTTTTTATATCATATTCCTTTATGGGCTAAAATAAAAAAAAAGTTTAGTATTTTCTCTCATATTTCTTAAAGGTGTTGTAATAACAGTTGTATTGCACAGTCATTTTCACAGATTCTTTAAATGGAGGAATTTTTTTAAGTTAAAATAACAATAGCCTATACTTGGATAGCACTTACATACCAAGCACTATTCTAAGAGCTTTACATATATAAACTCATTTAATACATTCTTTCACCCTAAGAGATAAATGTCATTATTATGCCCATTTCACAGGTAAGGAAACTCAGGCACAGTGGAGCAAGCGACATGCCCAAGACACAAAGCTTGTACGTAGCATAGCCAGAATTTAAACCCAGCAATCTGGTAGAAAGCTCACACTCAAACTTCTACATCTTTTTAGAGTGCTGTAAACTTTTATACCTTCTTTTTAAAAATTTTTTATTATGAACTTTTTGTCAATTTCAGTTTAATAGCAGTTATAATAAAATATTTTTCTCTTTAACAAGTTAAAATGAAGATAGCATTGTTTTTTTTTAAACCATGAGTTTGAAAAACTTTGCACTTGGTGACAAGAGTAGTTACTTATTTAAAAGTGCTCATTCAGTATCCAGGTGCATATCTCTTGATTGTGATTGTGGACGGATAACTTTTCTGCATTAAATTCTCTGGTAGTATTGTGATGCCGAGTAATATGTTATGCTCTTTATGTTTACTTTAGCTTGTTATTCACAAAAACTTATTCACAAAATTGTTTTTTTATCAGCAGACGCAATTCCAGTTCCGCAGGCCCATTTGTGGTGCCTGACCACCTTCGGCAAGATGTGGAAGAATTCGAAGCTCTCTACGAACAGCATACTCATGAGTACGTCGTCCGCAATAAGAAGCTGTGGGACATTAACCCAAAACAAAAGTGTTCGAGTTTGTATGAGTAAGTAGCTTAACGTTTCTGCAACTATTTCACACCGAAGCTGCCAGTTAAAGATCTTATGTTGTTTAACTTGTTTCCTTTAATAAAGGAAGCATTTATTGGCTCCCAAACTCTGGGAAAGAAAAGTATTTTTCCAGCTTTTGTCCAATATTATACAAATATAATTAAGGATTTTTAATTATTAAATTTTGAATCTTGATAATTATTAATTAAACCTTAATTATAATCCTACAAACTGTGATTTTACTCTGCACTTAGCTTTGTCATTTTCTTTTTCACCTAAAAATGCATGGGGAGCATTTTTCTACATCCTCTACTAGTCTTCAGGGAACACGAATTATTAGCCACTTGGTGGGCATCACCAGGCCAGCATCCTCACTCATGTTTCCAGCTGTTGCGAAGCTCAGTGCTGAGTTAGAGACCAGCTTCCTTTCACATGGTCTCTGTTCTTTAGTTCTCCTGTTTCACATTTACATATTTTCATCTAGGTGGAGAGACTTTATTTTTCAGTGATTCTTTTGAGTATTCCTCATGGAGAGAAAAAGTAAGTGCACACACACCATTCAGGAATTGTGCCGCTGTGACTAAATGGCAGCTGAACACACCAGTTGGGAAGGTCTGTCTTCAGATAGATAGTGGGGTCGGTGTCATTTATACCAGTCAGCCAGAAATCCCAGCAAGGACTGCTATTCCTAAGACCACAAGGAGTTCTTTATGGGTCACCCTCTTCAACCCCTTTGCTTTTAGAGTATTCGCATTAAAAATGAAGTTTGATGGCAATCTTAAAGAAACGTTTAACCTGTTACCTTGCAAAACGTTTGTAGGGGAGTTTCAGTTGTAAAAGTTTTTCTAAAGGGAAAATATTCATGAAAAAAAAACATTTAAAAAGAGATGGCTTGGTGACTTTTAAGTATTCTGAGTAGCAGTGCTGACAGAAGTGGTGTTTGGTCTTTATGCTTCAGAGTATCATCCGTTGCTTCGAATAGAGGTTAAGCATTTGTAGTTGTCCTCTGCGTTTATCTGTAGCAGCGTCTGCACAGAAAGTGGTGTTCTTTTGCTTCAACGAAGTTTTTTTATCTTCCTCCTAAATAACTTGTCTTCCTAGTTAGCGTTAATTTCACTGAGAAAGTTTCTTTGAAGATTTTTGCTCTTGAAAAACCTTCTAAGTGGTATGTGGTATGTCTTTTTTGCTAGTTAAGTCACTGTTATATAGTGAACACCAAATTGAAATGACAGAGGAGGCCTCTGTGAGCCTGAGACACTAATGGGGAAGGAAAATTGCCCAGAGCTGGAGTGAACAAACCCAGTTCAGAGCTGGAGGCAGACGAAGGGATCCCCAGCCCCGTTACTGTGGATTTGATCCTGTACTTTATTGGTTTATTGGTCAGATGTGATCAGTTTCAGTACCTCTGAAGCATTGCGTATTCCTAAACAAAAATTTTAATGGATGTACTAAATGCACATTCCAATAGGATTTTTTTTGAATTTTATTTTCTCCTTTGACATTTTTGTTATTGTATTATTATTTTTCTTGAATAAATTTAGTTTTCATTGCTCTTTAAATAGATTATATAATGGAAATTTATAAAATAACTTTTGAATCTCCTTTTATTTTTTCCTAAAAAATGTTTATAGGATTTTCTGAGGGTAAACAAAATTTTATTCATAGTATCATTGATTGTAGTTATCCTTTCTCAGATTTAATATGAGTATTAATGTTTTTGGGGGAGGTGTTGAGATCAGCTGGAAGTAAAATAGTATCTGCTTTGGGAGAATTTTTTGAGAAATGAATTTTTTCAAATGAACAAGTACTTATAATAGCTTACGTAAATGCACATTTTTTCCAAGTTACTTCTCTCAGTTGTTGGAGGAGCAAGGTCCCTTGGATATGAATAACAAGATGTTCTCTGAAGAATATGAATTCTTCCCAGAAGAAACTCGACAGATTCTAGAAAAAGCCGGAGGTTTGAAATCCTTCCTCTTGGGATGTCCTCGTTTTGTTGTGATTGACAACTGTATTGCATTGAAGAAAGTTGCGTCACGGCTCAAGAAGAAGAGAAAGAAGAAAAACATTAAGACAAAAGTGGAAGAAATGTCAAGGACAGGAGAGTATTTACGAGTCAAGCTCCCACTGAATCCAACTGCTAGAGAATTTAAACCAGACGTAAAGTCCAAACCAGTGTCCAGTTTATCTTCAGCACCAGCTTCTGAAGATGTAAAACCCAAATCTGTATCTGCTGATTCTCTTAAAGCAGCCTGTGAAGCCGAGAAGCTGAAACCAGTATCTGAAAATTCTCCCAGATCAGTTTTTAGAGATGAGAAGCCCAGACAGGTGTTTCTTGATTCTCCCAAAACAGTCTGTGATGGTGCCTGTCACCTGCGAGTCCCCTCGAATTCTCCCAAACCAGTTCCTGAGGACATGAAACCAGCCTACTGGACTCAAGCCCACTTGGTCACAGGATACTGCACGTATCTTCCCTTCACTGGATTCGACATCACCCAGACACCACCAACGTACATCAGCGTGTTACCGACTTTGCCCCAGTTCACTAGCATTTACACCCCTCTGGCCAGCATCCCTTCTGAATATCAGCTGCAAAGGTCACTGCCATTGATGCCATCTTTTGTAGTCAGTGACAGACCAAATAAAAATGCTACTGTGTATTTCGAGGGTCATCGTTCAAATGTCGAGCGTGCCCTTGGTCACCAGGTAACCTCTGGAACACAGACCCTTCAGGACTCTGTGGGAATATCAGTAAAGTCACAGTGCAGCACGGGTGGCGCTGATACAGCCCACAGTGAGCCTAGTGGATGCTATGGTCACCGTAGGAATTCTGCCAGCAAGTCAGAAGTAAATGCAGAAAGTACTGATGAAGCAACAAATATTGCACATACACAAGCTGTTGCCATGCAGGTAAGACTTAAATAGAAAAAATCACCTTAATACTGAAGTTAAATTTTTTTTTCATATTTCATTGCCATTATATATATTAAAATTCTTTAAAACGATTGATTCCAAAATGGTTACTAAAGCTTGCACTTGGAAATGTTTTAAAAATATGGTCCCTTTCATAGGGCATGGCAGGTAATATCGTCAGGAAGAACTTTTGGGCCTAGTAAATATTATCCTTCCCTACCCAGGTTTCGCATCAGCTGAGAAATAAGATAGAGAAATCAGTAGATGGAGCCAGAACATCACCTTAGTTATTACTACAGGCACAGTAGGAAGGTGTAGCCATTTCACTAAAGAGTATCCTGGTGGTGAACTGGCTACAGACCAGCGTCCTCACCAGTTACAGCAGTGCTGGGCCAAGAGGCCTCCCAGCCTGGGGTGCCTGCCCCATAAGATTTCCTGCATGGAGGAGGAGGGGGCATATGCTTTCTGCACAGCTTACAAGATAAAGAAGAGAGAGTCTGGGCTACAAATGCCCATTTTTCCAACCAAAACTGGGGAGGAGCAGGGAAGTCAAGAGACAACCCGATGGAGAGGGACCAGAAGGAGGTGAATAAAACTTCCTCCCTAACAAGCATGAGAATAAATTAAGGTTCCTCTGCAGTTGACTTTGTAGGGCAGGAATTCATTAAACCCTTATTGGATTATCCTCCTACTCACTAAGTTTTCTGCTTTCCAGAAAGCTTTGAAAAAACATGTTAAGAGTAATAAACCAAAGTCATTTTCATTTTTACTAATTGTAAATGATAGTACTTTCCTAGTATAGATATTTGTAGAAAACGTAGAACATTATCTAAATTGTCAAAAAAAAAAAACCTTGTAAAAATTATGAGCATGTTTTTAAGTGATATTACATAGTGGATTTATTTCACTAGAGCATTTGTGATAGATTGAATTCATGTATTTTACCCCAAAGGTGCCTTGGAATACAACACATCAAGAAGCCAGTACTGAACCACATGATTCTTTTGAGGCACAACAGGTGAGTTGAAATTTTATTGGACTGTTTAAAGGTTTAGTTTTTATTATTTAATTGGATAGGAATGACTAGAACTATTTTGGATCCATCTAATTCCATATAAAATGTTATCATGGAATAAGCTTTAGAGCATAACCAAAAAATTATCATTTTGTTTTTATTGTTGGAATTTGGGAAGGACAGGCAGCAGAAAAGATGTTTGTTTCTAGCTTATTTATTTCACAGTATGACGGCTTTTTTGTAAGTGATATAATGAGCCCGTATTAATTATAAATAAGAGCTCATTCACATGAATAATACAGAAAGTATTATAAAGATTTTCACCATTTTAAGAATGATTCAATTAGAAAATCTATTAAGGTCATTTGCTTTGTTAATATATCTTAAGAGAAAAATTATTTGATCAACTGAAAGAGTTATCGGATAAAATTCAAATTACTTTCTTGACTAAAGCTCATAATAAAATGTGAATAGATCAAATACATCCCAGTATGTCACTGTCATGCTCTCTTAAGCCATTATCCTGGAGATATCAGCTACTAAAATTAGACAAGAGAAAGAAATAAGATTGTAAAAGAAGAGGTATAACTGTTACTACTTATCAAGGCTAAGGTTGTGTTCCTGGAAAGTCCAAAACGATCACCTGAAAACCCAATATCAAAATGTAAGAGAATTTGGAAAGGTGATGGGAGATAGTACCTCTCCACAGACAGACAACAACCTGTTGCAAAGAAGAAATACTGGAAGAAAAAATTCCATTTTCAGTAGCAACAAAAAAATTAAATGCTTTATGAAAGAAAACTTTGAAATGCTATAGAAAAACACACAGAAGACTTAAATGAAAAGGTGTTGAATAGGAAAACCTACTATTGTAAGGAGAGTGGTTTCCCTTAAAGCTTTTCATTTAATGCAGTCTCAGTACAAACATGAACAGCGTGGATTATTTATATGTTGCTGTATAACAAATTACCTGAAAACATAATGGCTTAAAACAACAAACATATATTATCTCACAGCCTCTGAGTCAGAGAGAGGGGCAGTTTAGCTGGGTGGTTCCGAAGCTTGCTTCTGAGTTGCAGACAAGGTACTGACCAAGACTCGGTAGTCTGCAAGAACTCCCTGAGCCTGGAGGTTCCACTTCCAGTATGGCTCACTCACATAGTTGGCGAGTTGGTGCTGGCCGTTGGCAGGAGGCTTCAGCCCCCTGCCTGTGGACCTCCACGTTGGGCTGCTTGAGTGTCTCAGGGAGCTTGGCTTTCCCCAGAGTGGGTCATCCAGCCAGAAGTCGCAGTGGTTTTCATGGTCTGCTTTAGGAAGACACACTTTTGTCATTTCTGTGTTCTCTCAGCCACACACACCAACCCTCCAACCCTGATACATTGTAGGTGAGGATTATACAAGGGCGTGAATACCAAGTTGTCAGGGTCTTGGTGGCTGGCTATTGCACAGGCTTAATTTGAATCTGGACACATTGATTCTAAACTTCATATGAAGAAATAATCAAGAACACCCATGGGAAAGAAACTATAAAGAAGGGAGTTGTACAGCCAGATATCAGAACATAATATGAATCTATAAGAATCCAGTAGAACAGAAGAATATAGAAATATAGAGTATAATAAAAATGGAAATTATTGGTGAGAAAAAGTAGATTTTTAAATACATGGTGCTATAAATATGTTGCCATCTAGAAAAAGTAATTTGGGTCTCTACCTCATTTTCATATACCAAAATAAATTCCAGGTAGATCAAAGTTTTAAGTATTTAAAAATGGACCCATAAAAATACCCAGAAAAAAAGGGAAATTTTTTTCATAAGATAAATAGCATGACAAAAGCGTGTATTTATATATATATACACAGACACACATGTGTCTATGCATATGCATAGCATTTATGTATGTGAACAAATGTACAACATGTGGCATCAAAACACAAGAAACTAGGAAAGTTATTTGTAGCATAGCACAGAGAGCTAACTTTCTTGTTTAACAAAGTTTCTATAAATCAATAAGGAAAAGATTAATAACCTAACAGAAAAATGGGAGTGGATGTGAATAGATAATACACTATAAAAGAAGTGAAGGTGATTTTTAAACATATAAAAAGATGGCCGACCCCGCTTGAAATTTAAAACAGTTATTTATATACTATTGAAAAAATGTAAAATGTAAATTTTTGCGGAAGGCAGCTTGGAGTTTATCTGCACTCGTGTGTGTAGGTGTGGAGAGACTAGTGAGCAAGGGTATTTGCGTATTTGTTTCCTCTGCATTTGTGCCAGCAAAAAAACTGAATGCAACTTAAATTACCCATCAGTATCGGACTAGTTAAGTTACGGTACATCATATAATGAGTTACGGTACATCATATAATGAAATACTACACTGTCATTTAAAAATGTAGCAATTTTAATATTACTCATATGCAATGATTTGCAATGATTTACAAGGTCAGATGTGAAATTAATCAGGAAGAAGCAAAGTTAGAACTTTTTATTGCTGTTATCGGTTCAAAGAGCTTTATAGTTTCGGCCAATTATAAAAATAATATAGAGTCCTCAAATTTTTGAATGAACAATAATGAAAATTATGAAAGAGAATTGAAAATGGTCTATATTCACATCACCCATGTTAATATTTTTATATGCAGCCTTCCAGGCCTTATTTAAACATTTACATTGAAGTAATAGTGCTTTTTAAAAGATAGGATCACACAATGTATGTTATATTTGAAATCGTTGGTCTTAACATATTGTGGCCTTTTTTCCATGTCAGCAAATACAGATTTTTACCATTATTTTTAACATATTTCATTGTATGACTGTATGATAATTTGACTACGTGTTTATTACTGAACATTTAGATCGTGTCAGCTTTTCACACGTACAAACAGTGCTGTAGTGAATGTTTTTGCCACTGTGAATTTATATGAAGTGGAATGACTGTTGAGTTCTTACACCATACTTACCTTTAAACCAAGTACACTCTGTTGTTTAGTGAGTCATTGATTGTGACCCTCAGTGTTGGGGAAATTCACAGACACTTCGTTAAACTAGCCCTGTTTCAGGCCTTGGCGGTGGCATAGCTGCTCGCCGGCTCCTCAACCAACAGTTAATCCCAGTGCTGCTGCTTTCTTCCGGGACTTTGAGAAGTCGCCTGATATTTCTGAACTTTCATTTTCTGACGCATACAAGGTGAAAGTGTTTCTTACAGAATTGTGGTGAAGTTTAGATGTAATAACAGAAATAGTACATAACATCCCGCCGGTCTCTGTGGGGGACTTGCGGCATATAAATTAATTTAGAATGTCATGTTGCTAGTCGTTGTAAACTTTTGTTGACTTGAGAATGAAAATAGAATCTTAAACTATGGGTTTAAGATTGCTCATGGACATAGTAAGGTTAACCATTTATTACTTAAACATGGACTCTTCATGACGCTAAACCTTCAGTCTGGATGGACAAAAACTGGTATGCTCCAAGGAAACTGGTGTATAAGGTCACCCTGGCCATCCATCACAGTTGTCTAACTTATAATTCACAGAATTTCAAAACCTCAATTTCTTGTCTGTTGACACTTAGATGCTTAGGTGCTGGGAGAGGTGCAGGAGATGGGGAAGATGAACAAGTTTGGCCATGGGGGTTGGTTTCCAGAGCTTGGCTGCCAGGGCCCTTGTGTCTGGGTCGAGCAGTCACCTGCAGTGGGAGGAGCTGCTGGATCACGTAGCTCTTCCCTTCAGACCCAGATGTGTGATTGCCGACAGTCTTAGCAGTATGAAAGGTTTTAAAAATAACTAGCGTAAATGATGTTTATTGTTTGCCAGTATTTCACATTACTGTATGGCTTCTGTTTTGTTTTTTAAAGCTGGTCCAAGAGATAGTTATAAACCGAAAACAATTCATTGATAATATTTTAACTTAACCTTTTGAAATAATCAGTAACTATCCATTTGAAACACTTAAAAATAGGGCCAAAGTTAGTAAAGTTTTTTATATCTAAAATATACATAGTATGTACAGCTTTAAACCTAAAAAATAGTTCTTGATGTTCATTGTGGAGAATGACATTCACAGCAAACTCGATTTATACTGAACCCTTCTAAAAGAAAGAAATATTCATAACTAATTATAGCATAGATTGAAAGTTTCATTATGAATTCCAATAGTACATATAATTTTTATTTTAAAAAGAGCTTGGTCTTTGGGTGATACACAATAGAATAAGTACCTAAAAAATAGTTCTTGATGTTCATTGTGGAGAATGACATTCACAGCAAACTCGATTTATACTGAACCCTTCTAAAAGAAAGAAATATTCATAACTAATTATAGCATAGATTGAAAGTTTCATTATGAATTCCAATAGTACAAATAATTTTTATTTTAAAAAGAGCTTGGACTTTGGGTGATACACAATAGAATATGCAGATATCAAATTATACTGTACACTTGAAAATTATATCATTGTATTAACCAACGTTATCCGAATAAACTTAATTTAAAAAAATAAATAAATATAAAAAGAACTGGCTTTGCTAAACAGTGTTTGGGGTTTTAAATTCTTGATTTATTGTAACATTTCTCTTGAAAATTTGCATTTGCTTTCTTCTCCTTTTCATTTTAAGAGGCAGTCCCAAACAAGATCAGAGATAAGCATTTTTACTATTTTAATAGATCATTTTGTAATTTACTTTTAGGATGATATTTCACAGATTGAAAAGGAGTGCCAAGGTTTACAAGAGCAACTTAAGGAAGCATGGGAAAACTATGAGCAGAGAAAACTCAAAGGCTCAGAAGAGACCAGGGACCTGGAAGAAAAGTTGAAAAGGAACTTAGAAGAAAACAAGGTAATTCTATTTGAAGCATGTAGCATAGTTAGGAGAATTATTTTTGTGCAGCTTGATTAGCTGAGCATTGTTGACTGAACAATGGATTCTTTCTCAGTATTGCCTGTTTCACATCTGTCCATGATATATTAAAGTGACAGTGTTTTTGCAGTGTTTTAGAATTTCTACAAGTTACCAGTAGGAAAAGGGCTGTAAATCTGGGTTTTTGTTTACCTGTAATTCAGTTTGCTTGATTAACCGAAACTATTTTCTGGTGACTAAGTTCCGAGTTAAAGTTGTTTCTGTTGAAGGGCGGTGTGGCATTAGTGGTTCAGAGAGTGTCATCTGGAGTCAACACTGGCTGGGTTCAGATCCAGACTTGGTTCTGTACCAGTTGTGATCTTGAGCAGGTGACCTAACTTCTTGGTGCTTTTAGTTCCTCATCTGGAAAATGTGGGTGGTAATAGCTCTCAGTTTGTGGGGTTAGATTAATCATAAAGTATTTAAAACTGCCTGGTGCATAGAAAGGGCTCTGTAAGTCTTGGCTGCCACTATTATTACTACTACTGTTACCGTCATCATCATCTTCATCTTCTGAGGAAGTGTAAGAATAACACATAGAGCTTGTGCATACCAGGACTGTATAAAGTCACCCAGAGCATCTTGTTTGAGTCTCCGGCTACTGGAGTAATCCTAATTAGTGGCAAAGCCAGACTGCTTTAATAGGAAAATGGAGTGAATTATAGATGTGAGGAAAGCTCAGTGTGTTTTTTTTAAAAACCAAGGTCTTTCATACAGCAATAATAAAGGGATAGTAGTCCATTTAAGAAAGAATTTGTTCCAGAAGTCTGGATCAATAGCTGGGGTAACATATTAAATAGAATAAGATTAGCTTAGTGGGACCTTAATCAAGAAACTCATTTGTGGAGTTTTAAGTGTACCTAGAAGAAAAGGGACACTTTGAAAAGATAACCATTGTCACATGCCATAGGATCTGTTTATACTTGGGGCTGGAGAGGATTCGAAGAATGAGAACATTAGAAGGGACCTGGCTGAATGAGGGCTCCCTGATTGGCAGAGGAAAAAAAACAAACAAAAATAAAACCCTGCCTAGCACAGTGACTCATGGAACACAAGTTTAAATAAGTTACTTGGAGTTGGATGAAAGGCTTAACAAAATAAAGTATTTTTTTTTTTAATCATTATTATTATTTATGCCTACAACACCTGGTCTTCCTAGGTGGTCTCCCATCCAAGTACTAACCAGGCCCGACCCTGCTTAGCATCCGAGATCAGACATCAGGCTTGTTCAGGGTAGCATGGCAATAGACCATGTACCGGGTGCGAACCCAGGTCCTTCTGCTTGTATAGCAGACATGCTAACTGCTACACTATGGAACCACGTCCAAAATAAAGTATTTTTATAAAACTTTATTGCCTCAGAATATTCCAGTTTAATAAATCTGTACGGGAATGCCTACAGCCACCACATAAATGAGAGCAGATCTGGAGACATGGCCACTTCATTGTGAATGAGGGTTTCTGGCAGAGGCTTGTCCAGCTTTATAAACTGCTGGTCTGACCGGCTCTTACATCTGTGCAGTTCAGAGCTTCTTTGTACACTTTGCCAAGAAACTTAGAGCAAGTCAGGCGCCAGGAGCAGGGCCGTGAGAGTGCAGCTCTGAGTGGTGAGCTGGGTTTCATGTGCTTTTGAACTTTGTGAAGAGGCTGGGTCTGGTTTGATGTGGTTGCACTCGAGAGTGTAGTCACTCCATTTTTTAAAAGAGCTATTGTTTTGTACCCTGCACAGGCCTGTGTCAGGTTATTCTAAGACTTCCCATGTAAAACGTGTACTGTATCCCATCAGGGTAAATTGCTCACCCAAATTCCTTAGGCGAGTGTCCACACAAGAGCAGATACGATTTAGCCATGGCCATTTCTTCATTAATTGTGATTATGCTCATAATTAGCTCGTGGAGAATTCCTTTACAAACATAAAAAAAAAATGTGTGGTCTTTATTGATCTTTCCCGTGGCCTTTGACTAGATCACTGAGGTTATGTGCTAACCAGCTTTTACTTTAAGTGATTTGATACCAAATTTGCATGCGTTAGATGTCACACCACCCTCCCCTCATAGAGACGAGAGAGAAGCAGCTCTAGCGAATCACGTCTCAGTGCTCCGGGGTTCCGACTGCCTGAGCCGAACCCAGCACCATTCCACAGCTCTGCAGCCTCAGACAGTTTACTCAACCCCCTCCGCTCTCAGGTCCTCATAATATAACCTCTACTTCATATACTTTACTCGCGAGGACTCAGGCGTATTGGGAAAAGGGGGACAGCCAGAGATAATAAGTATAGTAGAAGGAAAATTGTCCCGCCTGAAATGCCAGTCATGCCCCTGTTGAGAAAAATCACTTATTTACAAGACATTTGAAAAGTGCTTAGAACATATTAAGCATCAGTAAAAATCCAAGCTAGCTATCGTATATAGTCGATGGGAGTTTATTATCTTGAGCCAGGAATGACATGAATAGATAATTAGGACAGTTATCTATTGTCCACCAGAGAAAAATGGCCATCCCGAAGCCAGTCACCTGTTGTTTTTATTCTACCTCTAACCTGCAGCTGGCGGATTATGACTGGTTGCGGTATTGCTCAGGGGCATGTGTTCTTTGTTGTTTTATTGAGATAAAAATCACACAGTGAAAAGTTCACCTTTTTAACCAATTCAGTGTTAAAAAGTGTACAGTTTAGTGGTTTTCATTCTCACAATATTGTGTAACCATTGCCACTGTCTCATTTCAGAACCATTTTCATCACCCCAGAAAGAAACCCCATACCCATTAGGCAGTCATTCGCCATCTACCCTGGGACTTCTGTCCTTAAGGTGCTCTAGGGAGAATTTCCCTAAAGCTGAGATGCGTATTTAGTCGACATGGCTCTTAAAACACAGGCAAAATAACTTTGGCCCAGAATAATTTATGGAAGAGAATTTTTGAACCTGTCTTTTTCTACATTAGGGCAGAATCTTGAGCCCTGCCTGCCAAAACTTCCTCAGCCCCCATCTGTGTAGAGGCGGGAATCACAGTCCTTGCCAAGTTCAGCCTTTTGTTAACGTTTATGGAGCTCATATTACGTGTGTATGGTGTTCTCAGTTGTAAACTTTTTACCTGTATTGGTTGATTAAATCTCAGAACGGTGCTGGTACACTCATGTGACAGTGTGGTGCACAACTCCTGTTATCTCCACCTTCCCGATGAGGAAATGGAGTCCGGAGCAGCTAGTGCAACTTGCTCAGAGTCACACCAGGACCACGTGGCGGAACAGTTAGTGTCAGGCTCCAGATCCCTTACTTTTGTCCTCCCTTAAGTGAACAGCAGTTCCACAACCAGGCTGAAAAGCGTTCTTGAGCGCCACATGAGCAGCGCAGGTGTATCAGGTCATCGCTGCCATGGTGACGCTGAGTTAACTGCCATCCACACAGCATCAGTGACATCGCCGCAGCGGTAAGCATTAGATGTGTGCGGCTGGGGTTGGCTACTCCATTGGCCTTGACTGGGCTTTGTCACCTTTGGGTCAGCTCAGGCTCTGCTGTTCTCAGGTGTTTGCTCCTCTGCCTGGGACCAGCTGGCTATGGATTGATCTAGAATGGCCTCGGTGAGGGTGACTGGGGCAGCTAGCTGTGCTCCATGTGTCCTTCATCTCCCAGAAAGCTCAAGAGCAAGCAAGGACAGCCTCGTAAGCTCTTTCAGGCCTTGGCCGACGTCGGGTCCACTGATGTCCCAGTAGGCAAACCCAGTGACAGAGCCCAGCTTGGAGGGGTGGGGAAGAGACTGCCTGTTTAGTGAAGGGGCCCGCGAGGTCCTGTGACCACGGGTTTAGTAGAGGGAGGGGCGAGGATGAGTGCCGTCCCTCTGCCACAGCAGGCCAGGCCAGCAGCGATCATCCACTATGAAGAACCCGTCCACGATTGGTGCCCGCCTCCGGCCTCAGCCTCCTCTCCTAACAGTTCTCCGCACTGTCCTCTGCACTTTGTGGGTGACATTTGTCCTGTGGTTTCTCACTTCTGAGCCTTTTCTGGGCATTGACCCTTGTGCCTCAAGTTTGTTCCCATGCCCAGCTCACTCCTCCTCAGCCTCTGGGGGGAGGAAGTGGTCACCTCTGGCAGCCTCAGGCTTGGCCATAGGCCCTGGCTAAAGCAGTGGTGATAACTGTACCTGCTGTTACTGTGCAGTAGTGACCACTCTGTTTTCATCTGTTGAGATGCAGTTTACATACCATCGGATTCATCCATTTAAAGTATATAGTTGACTGTTTTCAGTATACAGACAGAATTGTGCAGACATCATCACATTCTAAGTTTAGAGCACCTCATCACCCCAAAAAGAAATCTCATACTCCTGCTAGTCGCTCCCCGTTGTCCTACCCTCAGCCCTAGGCAATCACTCCGTAGGTTTCTGGGCATTTTGTATAAATGGAATCATGCCGTATATGGTCTTTTGTGAGTACCTTCTTTCACTTAGCATAATGTTTTCACAGTTCACGTATGGCCATCTGTGTAACATATGTCAGTACTTCGTTCCTTTTAACTGCTGAATAATATTCCATTTTATGGCTATATCACATTTTATTAATTTATCAGTTGATGGGCACTTGAGTTAACCACTTTCTGACCGCTATGAACATATGATACAAGTTTTTCTGTGGATATGTGTTTTCATTTCTTTCGGGTATATACCTAGGAGCAGAATTTCTGGGTCATAGGCTAGCTCCGTATTTAACCGCCAGACTATTCCAACCAGCCGCACCACCAGTGTGCAGGGTTCCACTTCGTCCACATTCTCCTTAACATTTGTTACCATCCACCACTTTGATATTGCCATCCTGATGGGAGCGAAGTGGTATCTCATTGTGGTTTTGATTTGCATTTCCTTGAGGCTAATGGTGTTGAGTATCTTTTCACGTCCTTATTTATTCGTATATCTTCTTTGGAGAAATGTCTGTACTATCCTTTGCTCATTTATTAATTGGATCATTTGTCTTTATTGTTGAATTGTAAGAGTTTTTAAAATGTATTCTGCGTACAAGTTGCTTATTGGATATCTGATTTATAAATATTTTCTCCCACCTTCCATACTTACAAATATATTTCTCCCATCTTTATTTTGTGAGTTGTCTGTTCACTTTCTTGATGGTATCATTTACAGCACTAAAGTTCTTAATTTCAGTGTAGTTCAATTTCTCAATTTTTTGTCGCTTATACTTCTGGTATTATATCTAAGAAACCATTGTCCAATCTGGAGTCACCAGGATTTACTCCTGTCTTCTAAGAATTGTGTAGTTTTAGCTCCTCCCTTTAGACCTATGATCCATTTGGAGTTGATTTTCGTGTATGTGTAGTAATTATCTCTTAACACATATTTCCCCCACCAAACTGTGATCTCCCTGAGGGTAAGAACTGTTTCTCAGTCATCTTGGGACCTGAGCGTATATACTTGGAGCCCACCGATGGTATGACATCATGTGTCCGTGAGCCCCCGAGCTGCACTTAGTGAATCATGTCTTCATATTCTCTGTTGGTCTATATCAAAGGACATCAGGCCTACACATGCTGTGAAGGTGGTGGCTTTATCTGTTGCTGTTTATTTATTGCTGGTATGTAGTTGAGAATACTGCCTATTCTTTCACTTGACAAATATTTATTGGATGCTCTTGAGTGCCAGGTCCTCTGCTCTTTGTCTGGGACTTCCATGCAGCCTTCTTTCTGAGGCCCCTAGAAGTCCTGTCTCTCTGCCCTCACCACCCAGGCTTCTTGGTACAGTGGGCTTGTTTTTATCATGTGGATACTGAATTACGTGGCGCACTGTATTACCTCTTTGACTTTGTCTGCCAGAAAATTTTAACATTATTTCTAAAGAACAGTTAGGATCTCATGCTATTTATTTTTATATTATTCCTACTGCTGGTTTTATGTTATTTTTGTCTTTTTATTCAATTTTCTTTACCCACTTAACATATTTTAATCTTTTTAAATTATATGCGTCATTGAAGATACCTCAAATACTTATTTAGAGCAAAATTGAGGTTTAAAAGAGGGAAGTGTGGAAACCAAATATTCTTTGAGGAAAAACCCCTCAGAAAGTATTTATAACAATGTCTGTAAAGTGTGCATATAGAGGCTGCAGTTGTATATGGCCTGTTCTTTATTCTGATGTCGGGAAGGCAAGGGTTGAGGTCATTCTCATTCTTGTAGTCAGAGACAGGCTCACGAAAGCGACCTGGTGAGCACTTTGAGGCAGCTATGTCATTAAAAGATGGTTAGTACCAACACAGATGAACTTGGCAGCATTTTCCTTGATTGAGCTGTAAGGATGTGTGTGTTCACAACACTGAATGCCTTTCGACACCTGAGTTCCTTCAGGTACTTGTTGCCAAGTCCATTCTTAGGCCCCAGTATAACCTTGTGGTTGTACACCATCTCCTAGCCAAAGGCCTGGATCTGAGGTGAGGGCACTGGCTTAGAGTAGAAGCACAGGGTGGGCGGGGCTGCCAGCGGTGAAGCACAGACAGGGTGGGTGCAGGATCGTAGGCATCGAAGTGCACCAGGCAGCATGCAAGGGTTCCTAAGGAGAGTGGCCATCGTGGTCGTCTGGGTCACTGTGATGGCCAATTCAGGGTCAGTAAGGCTGCAGCGAGGACATGGAGCAGAACATGCCCTGCACTGCAAGGCATGTCACCGACTGTCATGGAACTTCTGCCCAAGAGCAGTTGGCCTGTGCATCCCCAGGCCGCAGCGCTTGACCCCAGCATTGCTGTGGGACCTGGACTGTTAGCCATCTGCCTCCCAGGGGCGTTGAAAACCAAGTGCTAAAAGGGAGATGGGGGTCTAGTGGTGATAGAGACTGAGCCTTCAAAACCGTGTCTCAGAAAGTCTTAACTTTCCTCACTCTCTTCCCTGTATCCCAGGTCTCTGCTCCCAGAACCCCAGCTAAGACTGTTAACTCTGCTGTCAGACTCTCGTGGTCTGGGAACTTGCCCTCTTTAGACCTCCTTTTGGTAAATCTGCCATTGAAAGAGAAGTGTTGGACGTTTAGTCAATGTGTCTAATGTGGGGCTTTAGGAGGAAATGCATTCGGGTTACAACCAACCAACTTGTAAATGGACTTTGGATTGCAGCGTGTTAATGGGGTGGGAGCTGCCCTTATTGCAAAGGGTTGTTTTGAGGAGCAAAGCAGGACTGACTTGATGGTGCACTGGTCTATGTTAGAATAGTCTGTAAATAGAAATATCCGTAATGTGTAAATAAATGGGACTTGGAAGTCTGTTATTCCTTTCTAATTGGTTATGTTGAAAGACCATATGAATTCAGTATTTTTATTCCTTTGCTTTGCAGTCTTTGTCTAACACTTGTAAATTTTAGTTCTGTCCCATCAAAATAATTGCAGGGTCAAATTATTTCTTATATATATTGTTGATTCACAGATTTTTATTTAAATGTCCATATCTAGGTTAATTTCCCTGTTTCCTATGCCTCATAGCTTCTACATCGTCTATATTTTGCTTTTTTATTAATAGGATTTTATTTATTCATCCCAAGGTAGGAGCGTTTAATTGTCAACTTCTGCTTTACATCTTATATCCAACTGGACTCGTGGTCTTATCCATTCTGCCCGTCTAAAGTGTCCTTTACTTCTTTTTGTCATCCCCTGTTACCACCATCATGCTCATTGTCTCACCGGGGCTGTCGCAGTGAGATTTTTAAGGGATTTCCCCTTTCTCTTATCTAGAGTTTTTAACATTAAGGGTTATAACTCATAATGGGCTATGAAATCAGTTTAATGATGATGACTGGAATTGTTTTTAATAAAATAGAATAGAAACATTAGAAATCATCTTAGAAATTAAGGGCAGTTTTTTTCAGTGTGTGTCTGTCTATGCGCCTTATAGATCATTATTAAAATGTATTTCATTGTAGGTCACAGTCAAGCAAATGTGAAGGCCAGCTTTCACGTACCCCTTTGCCCACCCTTTATCCATCTCTGTGTCCTTCAGAGTTATTTTTTCCAAACCAGAAACTCGTCATCTTACTGCCTGCTTCAGAGCCTTCACTTGTTCCCTGTTGTTGGCAGGGTGAGGTCCACATGTCTTAGTGTGGCATACAGAGCCCTAAGGGTACCTCGGGTGCCATCCCTCTGCCCTGCTTTCCACATGTCCACTGTGTACTCTGGCCGTGTCACGCCTCTGGCTTTGTTCAGATGCGCCTCACTCTTACCCTTCTGCCTTGCGGTTCCTGCTGCTATGGCATCCACACTTAGAGTGGCAGGCTCATCTTCGAAAACCAAGGTCAGATACGGCTGATTTGGAGAAGCCCTCCACAAATACTGGATACCTAGCATGCCTTTGTCCTTGGTTTGTTTCCCTACCAGCCTCCCCCTAGCCTGATTCGGTGAGGGCAGGTGAGGGCTGAGGCCGAAGATTGCATGACTTTGTGTCCCAGGCTCAGCTGGGTTGCACAGCCTGCTACAGCCAGCCCTGGGTGCGTGTTCTGAGCTGCAGTCATTGATTAAGCTGGTACTCCACCACAGCTGTAATCTTTTGGGTTCTTTTTTTAAAAAATATATTTAAATACTTTCTAAAATGTTTTTAGATTTCAAAGACAGAATTAGATTGGTTCCTTGAAGATTTGGAAAAAGAAATTAAAAAATGGCAACAGGAAAAAAAAGAGGTCCAAGAAAGACTAAAAGCACTGAAGAAGAAAACGAAGACGGTTTCAAATGCCATTGAAGTGTAAGTAACAATTGAAAGGCAGTGATTTTTACTGTTTTTTTTTTAAGTGGGGTGGGGTTCTTTGGAGGTATTTTAATGTTTTTGATATTCACTTTTGAACTATGTCACGTAAAGTGAAATTTTTGGGTACTGTTTTTTTCTCATTTTAAAGCACATCTGTTGGAGGAATTATCTCACCGAAAATTTTTTCTAAACCTACCGCATTTGCAGATAAAAAAGGTGGAGCTGCAGATCAGCAAAGAATAAGTTCCTTCCAGTCTGAGCACCACCTCCTGTGAATATTTACCTCTGACATTTTTTTCTTATCTGTAAAATGAGGGGCTAGTTAGCTTTTAAGCTTCTTTTAGGCACTAAGATTCCGTGATGATTATTGTATTATTACTTTCACCCCGAATCCTTGAATTATTAAGTTTGGTACTGTGGTATGAAGGATTTGGAAATGCATATGGGTATTAGTTAGAGTTGTCAGATGAGCCAGACTGGTTTTAAGATTCTCTGTGATCGATTCCTAACCCCTGTCTTCCCTCCACAGTGATATGTCATATGATTCCTCAGCTTGTCTATCACTGTGACGAAACACCCAAAACTCAGTGGCTTAAGCGAGCAGTCATTTTGTTTGCTCATGATCTGGTAGTCTGGGCCGAGCTCAGTGCAGCCATTCTTCTGCTGTGCTCGCCCGTGGTGACTGGCTGCATGTAGCTGGGTTTCGTCGGGACTGGGCCCAGCTGGGGTGCTGGGTTGTCTTGGGCTCTCCATACAGCTTCAGAGTATCTCCCCCTCCATGTGGCCTCTTCATGTGACTTATCTATATAGTTTCTCCATCTGGTATCCAGCATGTTAGCCAGGGTTCTTGGGTCGTGGCTCAGGGCTTCCAAGATTGCAGAAGTGGAAGCTGCTAGGCCTTCTGAAGGGTTAGGCCCAGGACTCTCAGAGCATCACTTCCACTACATTCTCTCGTTTCAAGCAAGTGCAGTCCTGGTCCAGATGCAGGAGCATGAAAATGGGAGGCACGGTTCACTGGCGCACACCACCATGCTCATCTTCCAGGGCATTTGTGTTTTTTCCGCTTGCCATGCCATGTGATCAGATGACTTTGATTATGCGTCTTGCTAGCGTTATACATTTGGTCGGTTTTTAGGCAGTCCTTAAAAGAACAGTGAAGTATAAAACACTGCCTATATCAATTTAATTATTCTCAAAGTAGTTTAGTAGGTGGAACACATTTATAGAAAAATAACATTTGTAGAGCTCTTTACCTTTTAATATTTGAGCAGGTCTAGTCTTAATCATTAGGTTATCCAAAAATTCAGGAATATTTATATTTAATATATATTTTTATATGCTCAATTCAGACATACTGTCAAACTTGACAAAGTAAATGAAGCTATTGATAAAATATTTTTGTACTAACATAAAAATTCAACATTTCTGCCAAGAAATAAACTTTTTAATTTCTTTCACTTTATTAATATATTTCTTTGCCTTTTTCTGTCACAATTTAAAGATAAGCCATAGGCTTTCTCTGTGGTTTTTGCACTTTCCAAATAAATGCATTAAAGCTAAATTTTTATATTTAGATTTTAAAGTAAAACCTTAAAACTTTTTGGACCTCTTAGATAAGCACAAAGGATACGATTTGATTTTCCGCACTTTAGATCACAGTTAACATTCATTAAAAAGTGAATGGGACGTGAGGAGCTCGTGATTGGCGCAGTGCTGCAGAGGAGAGACAGCTGTGAAAGAAGGCACACATCTCCAGTATTGAGTACTTGGAAGAATTATTTTACAAAGCAAGTGACATGGCATTTAAACTGGTTCTTAGTGGAGACGGGACTTTTAGCAAGTAGAAGTGACTGAAAGGTGTGTAGGAGAGCGTTAAAGAAGCAGCAGACCTTCGTGCAGGGCATTACTTAAGAGCCACATACTCTGTTTTGAAGGGTTATCAGTGCATGCATGTGAGAGTGTGTGTGTGAGTGTATGTGTGTGTATTGAACTTTAAGTTCTGTTTTAAAGAACAGAAGCCTGCTTTCATTTGCGTGAGGACCACTGGTCATACTGACGATGATCCAACGCCACCTGTACCTCTGTCTCATTTGGACCACTCGGGTGCTCCGGGAAGTGGACTGAGGCAGGGGCATCTGCACTGCAAGTGTGCGACTTAGTAATGAAATAAAATGGCTGAAATAGGTGATCTGCCCTCCAGGTGCAAAAGGGAAAACGACCCCAATTTTTGCCTATTTAAAGGATATTAGAAAGGAAACGAAGTGTAGAAACTTATAAAGAATTCAAGAATTTGTGCATGGATGTAGGAGAATTTACTCTGTGGAATCAGGTTTTTGAAAAATATGGGAAATTAATTAAAATTTGGAAATTATGCTTTTATAGGTACACCCAGAAAAATGATGGGAAGGATAAAGAACATGAATTTCTTCTGGATCAGTTCCCTGAAATCAGGCAATGAAGCTTAAATTTTTTTTTTAATATCATAGTTTTAATACCAGAGGCACAAGCACACTAGACTTCTAAATATATCATTGCATCCATTTCTTTTAAATAATTGTTTCTTTTTTTTGTTTTTCTTTATTCAAATAAGTTTATTCTTTAAGTGTTTTTATTTCATGATGTTCCCACTTTTATTTCACATTGTCAGTATAAAAATTTATTGTTGATTACTCCTTTTTTTCCCTTGAATTAACTTGTAACCAAGTATGTATTTTCAAAATTTTGTGTTACTTGAAGTAACAGTCTCAGCTATATTGTGGTAGATCCGTTGCTCCCTGATTATAGGTTTAGTAAACAATTTTTATTATGAACCTATAAAAAGTTTCCTTTTAACTTTTATTAATAGAAACTGTTTTCATATGCCGGTAACAAGTATATTTAGGAGTAAGCTATTGTATTGTTTTTCTCATTTAATATTTTTTCATATACACAGTTCCATTCACATCATGGTCCCTGGCCTTTTTTTAGCTGTTATAAACGTAGTGCCATGAACAACTTTGTATGTTTTTTTTCCTTTGGGTTATTTCCTTGTAATATGTGTCAAGATAGAATTTCTGACTCAGAGGATGAGGGGTGTTCTGTAATGTTTATTAAAATAGCCAGATTACACTCCACCTACACTCATAAAAATAGTGAATCAGTTTCTCAGCATTCCGACCACATACACAGTTGTTGTAAGTTCATATCTCCCTTTGATCATTTCTAAAGCGCAAAGAGCACATGTGAGTCTGTAATACATAGTAACGTATTAGATGAGAAGTTACCCTAGGTGATGTTATGTCTTTTGGTGGTGTGATTTCAGAGTTAACCTGGCTTTAGCCTTTGTCATCTCACTGGATAAATTTTTTCAAAAAGTTTTTTTTTTTTTTTTAATATTTGCAGTAATGCATTTACAAACGAGAAAGTGAAAATAGAAGAGTGTATAAAGAAAGGGAAAGAACATCACGAAGAGATTCTTCAGAGAGCTGTGGCTGCAGAGGTGAGTCCAGGACACTTGGTGACTGACAGATGCAGCAGGTTGTCATTAGTTTGTTTTGCGTTTAATTACATATCAGGCATGACAACATTACTGGAAAATGTGGAGGCGGAGGGGTCTCCGGTTACCCATAGTGCTGCCGCCCCAGACAAGCGCTCTTTGCTCGCCCGTAGCTTTTTAACTTTTTACACTTAACACTTATGTGTGTTATACAGCTGTGCTCAGAGTGCACACCAGATTCTATAACCTGCTTTCCTTGTTTAACATTATAATTCAGTCATTTTTTTCATGCTCTCCACTTCGATTGGCTTCGTCATATTTAATCAAGTGATGAACCATGACGTAGTCAACCATAAAATGTTTGCCAGTAGTAGAAGAAGAATTTGAAAATAATCCACTAAAAATATACTCTCCTCCCCCAGAAGGGTATATACTAATGTCAGTATACCATTTTGACAAACTAGTGAGACAAAAATACAAATAATGACCCCTGGCTGTATTTTATTTTGTTCTCGAAACATGGTTGTCTTCGTTTGTGTAATTGGGAACTAAATGTTACTTATTCGTATATGTCTGATTATTCTGAGAAAATAAGAAGAGCCTTAGCTTATATGGTCTACAAATAGGAGTCAAATAAATAATGGCTATGCAGTTGCTTCTAAAGAAAGGGAGGAGAATAAAAGCCAGAGGACCAGTCCTTTGTGGATCTCGAGCTTGCTCAGTTCCCACTTACCACCACTGGCCTTTTGCCTGGTGGGTCCCACCAAGGTTTACTGACACCTGACTGAAACAGGGCAGTTTTGCGTTTCCTTAGTGACTCTTGCAAAAGTGGCCAGTTGGCCCTTGGGGAAGCCAGAGAGTCTAAAGTTTTAAAACCATGCCCCAGAGGCTTTTGATGCCCATGCCAAGACTCTGGGAGGGTGCAGCCTTGGGGTCATTCTGCAGCATACCTCCCCCCCGTCGCCCCCTCTCCTCATGTGGAAGGCCTGGGGTCATGCACACCAGGTGTGTACATACAGCTCCGTGCTTGTACATGGCTTAAACAGTAAGCCCTGGGGGGAAGTTTCATATCTGAGAAAAGTATCATTTACAGTATATAATTTTATTGTCCTTTTGTTACTCTGTTTCCAAATCCAAAAAAATTTTATTAATTAGTGTTCATTTGAGTGAAATTATAACCAAGTTCTGGTGATTGTCATATGTCATTTAAGGAGAAACTTCAAAGTGATTTAGCATGTTTAACTTTTAAAATACTTCCCATTTTTCAGTTTTAAAATACTCAAACGTTCTCTAATGTAATGGTAGGTATCTGTGCTTGAAAACTGGAGGGAGATGGAAGTGTTTAAGCTACAGATCATGGAGTCAAGAGCAGAAGGCTATCTGAAGAAGCTGAAGCAGTTGAACAGGTACTGTATTCTCTCCTCACTGTCTTTCCTAGTGTGTCAGTTAGTAAATAAAAGTCCCTGGTGATTTGAGAGAAAAAGTTTTACATTAGGACCTTTTTCTTCTTAATAGTTATATAATTACTACTGCATGTTCAGTTGTAGAAAAATCAAAACATACAAACAAAAATGATACAAATGACCTGTAATTCTAAATTGAGATACAATTAGTTAATATTTTAGAATTTATTAAGTATTTGAAAAAAATGAAAATTTTTATATTTTTTTACTACGTAGTATATAAGAAACTTCCTTTTGTATCATAAGATTTGTCATACTTAATTTCAAAAGGCTGAATAGTATTCCAGCATACAGACGTGTCCTGATGTGTCAGACACCGCTGTGGTGGGAGGCTGTGTGGTTTGTGCATTTTGTTAGTAAATGCTGCACGTATTCTTGTAGCTAAATTTTTATACACATTATTAATCGTGTCTATGCCATGAATTTCTGGAACAAAGCTCACATTTTCCGGGCTTTTCAAACATTTTGCCAAATTGCCTTCCATAAGAAGTTACTTAGCAGTCCTAGTGGCAGAGTACTGGACTGTCATTTCTAAGGATGTTTATGGATGTTCATTTTTTCAGCTCTCGTAATCTTTACCTGTTTTGGGTTTTACACTAAGGTTTACCTGGGACTCCTCGAGGGTCTTCCGTCCAGCATGTACACTTCTCTGGTTCAGTAGTTTTTTAACTACTGTGGGTTCCCACACATTTCCCTCTGGTCCTTTTACTATGTTCCATACACAGGGTTTGACTTTTCAGTCCCATGTTTTTCATCCTTCCTGGTGCTTTTTTGGTTTAATTTAAAACACTACTGAACCAGAGTTTCTGTGGGGCTCAGAAAAAAACAGTTTTAATGTCTAGTTCTTTATTTCTTAGTTTTTCTAAGACTTGTTTTTTTTTTTTACACAACACCTTTCTGGTTAAAGGTAAACTAATGTGCTGATTGAGATGATAGGACCTACAGCTGAAGCTGGGACCACGTGGTGTTAAGATGCAGCATCCAGCACTCGCCACAGGCTGCGCACCCATCGTGGTGCATCTGAGAAACCGAGAGAGCTCAGACCCATTTTATCTTCTCAAACCTCATGGTTCACGTAGCTTCTTTCTTAGGGATTCCATGCTAACTGCCCATTCTACCAAAGGACAGCAAAAGACAAAAGGAAAGTTCCCTGTTTTCTTTAAGTTATATAATGAGAACTGACCATCACAGGTTGATAGTATTATCGATTTCTCAGTTAAGGAGTAAAAAGCTTGTGTGTCACTGGTCGACCAGGTTCGTGCAGTATTGAGATCATAAATTTACTGCAGTCTCTGAGGCCACACCCTTTATTTATAAGGAGGCAGGAATGTTGGAAATATTCCAGGCTGTCCTTTTTTTAATGCAAAGACAGCCTTTAGTGTTAAACATGAATATCAGGTGAAGAATGGCCAAATATTCAGATTTGAGGGAAGAAGTTAAAATTCAGGTTAATATTTGCTTTCTGCCCATCGGTCTTGGGGTTTTGGTTAGATCAATAATTAAAATTTCCTAGAGCATCTCTAATGGTGAGGTTATAAAATACACAATTCCTTAAAAATAGTTTTTTGTGTGTGATCATGTGAAATGTATCTTTCATGTTTAAATGTTTATTTTCATTTGTACTTTAGTGCTTTCAATTTTTAAAAATATTTTAAAGTGGATGTTAGGCAGTTTCTTATTTTTCTCCTTTTGCAGTGATCCTGCAGCATGTCCTGACCTGGAATCTGACATGTGTTCATGGGGATCATTTCTTTCTAGTGTTAGAGAAGAAATTGAGAAAGCAGAGGTAAGAGTCGTAAAATGTTTTTATAATTCTGTCAAAATCTGTATGATGGTTATAATTCTCAGGAGGCTGGAGTCATATTCAAACTTTCTTTTTTGAGCTGTTACAGGCAATATATTTTTTTAATTGAAATTTTAAGAAGACTTTTTTATAAAAGTAACGAGATTTTTTCTCAACTCTCTTAAACTCTGCCCTTGATTAAGATTTGATTAGAACAAACTAATCAAAAATTGATTCACAAATATAGAGGAAAATTTGGTGATGGACAGAGGGGCAGGAGATTGGGTGACTGGAAGAAAGGGGTGAAGGGTTAAAGAAGCACATATTAGTAGTTGATAGATAATCATAGGGCTGGGGAGCACAGCGTAGGGAATACAGTTAGCATTAATATATTAGCTAGGGTAGAGAGCCAGAGGAGAGAAAAAGCAATTATGTTGTTTTATAAACTATATAAATGTCTAACCAATGTACTATATACTTGAAACTAATAAAAAAGAAAAAAAAAATCCTAGCCCAAAAAAAAAAAAGACTAGAGCAGTTATATTCAATAAGGCCGTCAAGCATTCTCGTTAGTGAGCTCTTGTTTTGAACCTCTTTCCTCACAAGAAAAAGTTGTTTTAATGCTTCGCGTGTTAGTTATATTTCTTGGAAAGTTGTTGACCATTTTTAACGTATAGTAAGGAAAATAGTATTAATTGACAATTGTGGTGTTCCCTTGGAATTTGTTAGACAAAGCTAACACCTTTTCTTTTACCTACAGTCTCAGTTTGAAGAACAAATTAAGGAAATTAAAGCTGGTTCTCAGCTCAGTGAACTTTCTAAAGTACAAATTTCTGAGCTGTCGTTCCCTGCGTGTAGCACAGTAAGTCAGTTACGTCTTTTTTTTTTTTTTTTTTTTTAAGGAAAGAAAACAAAACCTGGTTTCTTAAGTGGCCGAAGTAGGTAGTAGTTGCTGTTTTCTGGGAGTGGGAATGGAAGGGATTAATAACAGCCTTATTATTTTCACTATTGGTGCTACTGGTTAACCTTTTAAGCTTGGTAATAAGCATTCTTATGTAAATGGAGGCATTCTTTCTATAGGTTTCTAAGGAGAGGGCTCAGATGAACACGCTGCTGGTACATCTCCTTTTCTGGATGTTGGTGGGGAGTTGGGTGTGTGTGTGTGTGTGTGTGTGTGTGTGTCTGGATGTTGGGGGGGGGTGGGGTGTGTGTGTGTGTGTGTGTGTGTGTGTGTTCGTTCCTGCATTTGAACAAATATCCAGGTGTAGCAGGTGCCTGTGATTCAGATACAGCCTTATTACTTGATGCTTAGGGTCATAAAATCACAATCTGGAAATTAAGATTTATTTTCTTATTAAATACAAAATAAAAACTGCTGTGTCTGAGACATACGAGGGCTTTGTTGGTCTGTCATATTGTTTGAGGTATATGCTGAATCTTCTGAATAAGTGTGCTTGCCAGACCTTGCCTTTTTATTTAAAATATGCAGCACAGTAAAGAAAGACATTAATTTTATTGTGTAGACTTTAAAATATGGCTAAACTCACTATCACTTTGTTTTGTTCTGGTATATATATTTCTTATTTGGACACAGCAGATGCTAAGTAAATACTAAATTGAAATTAATTGAGCCGAAAGAGATCGGACCATAAGAATGTAAAGAAGGATTCTATTCAGGAGTCGATTAGAGATAGAATCCGGGATGTGTTGGGCACAACACTGGAATGTTCTGGTTCTGAAACAGTCTCCTCTAAGGAAACTTTGCCCCAGCACTTGCTTTGCACCTTTCTGCTTCCACCAGACCCTTGCTGGGCTGTCCCCCAGCCCGGGAGACATCCTCACTCTGCATTCTGCCTTTCCCCGACGGCCGGCAGGGCTGCCCTCCTTCGCCGCTCACCCCATGACCTTCTGTCATGTGTGTTCAGTCTCCCCAGCCGAGATGACAGGCTTCCCGCCATCAGGACCTTGCACATTAGGCATTCAAGCATAGTGCTTTCATCTGTAAAAAAAAGGTTTTTAAAACATTAAAAAGTTTAGCCTCCTTGGACATTCTCTTGAATCCAAAGTGTTTTCTCTTGATCGAACTGAGAAATGGTTTTACTTAGAAGTAAGTTAAAGATTGCTTCTCATTTGCAGTTTTTCCAAGTTCTTAAAGCAGGGATGCGACGGAGAGGTGAAGTCTCAGTAGAACATTTTACTGTTAATTTTTTATTCTAGCTTATGTAATTGTATAAACACTCAAAAGCACTTTAATATCCAAAGTCCTGGGAACTCGCTGTGTGCCTGGGGTTTGATTAATAGATATTCCTAAAAATCATTTCCTTTGTGTCGTTTCTCCCCTATCGTTCACTGAGCACTTAGTGATGAGCAAGATGGATGTGGTCTGCACCCTCCGAGTGCATGTGGGTTTGGGAGAGAGACTTTGAACCCAGGTTACAAGCAGGGTCCTCCAGTGGTTTTCCTGGGCACATGGAATGCTAGAGCAGCATAGACGAGGAGCACTAACCTGAGCCCGAGGCCTCTGTGGGCAGCTCAGTGAGTCTGAGATCCAGGAGTTAACCAGGCCCAGGCGAGGGAGTCAGTGGGCGTGTGTTTGGGGGGGGTGGGGAGGGTGGCTGGTATGATGTCTGGAGGTCCGGAGTATCCCAGATGCAAGAAACCTTGTATTTGGAGGCTAGAAAAAGGGAGAACACAACCTTTTTGTGGATATGGAAGCTCCGTGGGATAGTGAGAAAGATTATAGTATCCAGGGGCCAGAACGAACTCAGCCTCATTCCGTAAGGTGTGGTCAGCTGATGGGACTTTTTCTCAGGTCACTAGTGATCTGGCATAGATTTCGAGTAAGGAGTGACATCAGCTATGCACACTGAGGATCAGCTGGCTCGCAGTGGGCGAAGTGGGAGTGAGGCCTGAGGGATCCCCAGCTGACCAGTTGTTAGCTCACTGCCACCAGCCATGGCCTGGGTCAGGGAGTGAAACTGGGGTGGAAGGAAGACAGATTGGAGAGGTATTCAGGAGTTTCTGTTGAACTGTGCTGCTTGTGAGATTGAGGCACAGAGCGAGTGTGTTGAGGAGTCGAGGACAAATCCAGGTTTCTGTCGGTGACACGGGCAGTGAGGACGCTCCGCTGAGGCTGGTCTTTTTTTTTTCCAATACACAACTTTTATTGCATCTTGAAAATATCAAGAATAAATGAGGAGTCAGCCGACATGTTGTCATTTCTGTAGCTGGAAAGCTTAGATCTTATCCATCAGCCTGCTGAACTTTCTCTATGTCCTTATTTTTAACTTTTGTGGCTTGTTGAATCAAAGCAGCTGAATTTGATACAAGTTCAATGTCGTTTCCTTCAAGAATTAACTCATCTTTCTGGGCTTAAGATTCTGAACAAGCAGCCTGACCTCATCCAAACCCTGCAGATTTATTTTTCACCCAAGGAATTTCCAATTTCCACAAGAGAACTATTCTCCTAAATAATGACATTGACAGAGAGAAGAGAGTGTACACAGACCTCACCTCGTAACAGAAGCCCGTGTGACGCCCTTGATCATACCGTGTTCCGTACGTGGCTGCAGACAGTGCAAGCAGCTGCTGGCTCCTCCCTATTTCCCCGCCACTTGTCATCCCAGAGCCTCTTTCTTTCCAAGGAGACTGAGTTCTACATGATGTGATTGGAGTCCCTCCGCAAGGTGCCTCTGCGGCCCTTCACAGTGACGGTGCGTCCCTTCAGAGTGATGTCTGCGTGCTCTGGATTGTCAGCAGTCTGATTGCTGGGAATGGTCGTCTTCATCCTCACAGTTGATGCAGCAAAGAGAGGCTGGGTTTGAAGACATGGAGCATGAGAGCCCTAGCGGTCACCCAAATGGATTTGCCCACGAGGAAGTTTGGGTTTACGGGGTTGGATCTCAGGAAGACACTCCAGACTGGACTTTCTCACAGAGGGCAAGCACAGTCACTGAGGCCTGAGAGGATGTGAAGCGCCCCCGGGAGAGGGCACCATTGAGGCAGAGGTCCAGGCCTCAGACAGCATCATTAGGAGCGTCGACACTTGCGGGGTGCACAGGCCTGCAGGGGCCTGAGAAGGGGCCCCAGAGAGCTAGGTGGGAGGGGCCCAGCAGTGTGGAGCCACAGAGAGCTCGTTTGTGAAGAACGTCTCCTCTGCGGGGATTAGTGGAGTGGAGACCATTGGTGGCCTTGGCAAGGGCAGTTTTGGGGGCATTGGAACAGCTGTTTGCTTCAGTTACAGAGTGTCGCTGGGAACGGAGAAGAGGTGTGACTAGGTGAGAGGTGAAGGTCGAGGGCCAAAGGGTAGGCGAAATGTTCTCAGGTTTTCAATTTTTACAGAGAAAATGATGAATTACAAAGTTATTGAAGAGTCAGAGTCCAACCCTTGTTCCAGCAGCTAACAGGTTATGTCACTATCAGTAATTTTTTTAAAAACAATTTATCGTGTTCACGTTTCCTGTGCACTTGAGCAGCGGGTTTTATTACAGTCCTTCGTGCTTACCAGCCTTTGTCCGTAGCTCTTTCTCTAAGTGCTGCTGTCGTGTGTTCCTCACAGATTCATCCTGAGTCCCTTCCTGAGCCTTCAGGCCATGATGATCAGGGCTCCTTGACTTCTGCAAGTCACGGGGCTGGAAACCAAACAAGAGTCCCCAAGGATTCGAGTCCGGTCTGTGCCAGTGATCGCCCAGTTGGGGCTCCCTCCCCTCCGCTGCCTGCATCACTCTCTGGTCAGCCGGAAGTCACCCGGCTGCCAGAGTGTAAGCGTGCTGACCAGGCCACGCAGTCACAACAAAGCCTCGTGGCAGATCAGAAACCGCCTGTTCCTCCAGGACGTGCTACGCGTTCCAGCCAGTCTCCCAAAAAGCCGTTCAATAGTATTATCGAGCACCTGTCGGTGATATTCCCCTGTTACAGCAGGTATGATTGGAATGTCTGACTATTAAATACTTTCATTGAACTGAAGTTTCCTGGTCAAATAAAATTATGGCCCATTAGAGACTGAAGTGGAAAGGATTACATAATTGTTTTATTCACAGACAAATGCTGCAGTTTCTTTTTGTAAGCACAGAGGTGAGCATTTTCAAATAGGATTTTTAATGTGCATGTCTAGATTGAAAACTTTGAACACTCATGAGAACTCAGGCAACTCGCTGTGGTTTTGATGAGATCAGTAACATGCTCCAGCACTGATTATGGAATCACTAAATGAACTGCAAAACACTAGTTTTGCATCATTTTGTAAAAACATAATGAATATAAAAGAAGGTGGTAGCAACTCACACCTAATTGGACAACAACATGTCTGGTGTTTAGAGGTGTGAGATTGAAAAGCCCGGCTCTGACGCAACAGTGAGTCAGCTATGTGGGCGTGTTAACGGGGATTCTTGTGAGGACAGAGAGCTGCTTTTCACTGAGTCAGCCAGCGTTCTCAGTCGGGCATGTCGGTAGGGTTTCTGCCTCCTCTTCTGGCCTCCCTCTCCAGGTTGGTGCAGGGGGCGGCGATGCTCCTGGTCTCAGATGAGGAGGACAGGCTGTCTCTGGAATACAGCTAGGAAGGGAGGAATCTGCATCCAAGAATGGCCCTCTGCACCTCAGGTGTCAGTCTTTGATACAATATTAAGTTTCTGGCTCTGCAATGATACTTTTGAAATAAAGTAGTCATTAAATTATCATTGGCCAGAATTATTGTCTCTCATCTGTGGGGACAGCCCTGCCCATTTGAAAGTACATCTTGTCTGTGTGAGGGCATCATTAGCTCCACCCAGTTTGAGAAGTATTACAGGTTCTCTCGATAGCAAAGACTGTGCCAGTTGTAAAAATACTCAAATAGGATTTTTTGTTGTAATTACTAAAAGCACCTCACTAATAACATTGTTTGCAATCCTGACTAAATTTGGCAGTTTGAATAACCGAATAGAAATGCATCTTCACAGGTTATGTTTTCGTTACAGTAAGTTTAATGCAGTGGTGACAGGGAGACCTGTAACATTTTTTGCTTAGTTGAGTCAATAAACACTGGACGTAATAAGACTTTTCAGTGTTAGAAACAGTTAAGGAATCATATATATTAGATCATTTGCCAAAATAGCAATGTACTTCTTACAGTTTAACTTCTAGGGCTAGGACCCTAAAGTAAACTGCTTGAAAAAATTGGATCCCAGTGGTTCTATGTCCATACTAAAGTGGAGATCAAAGAAGCCCAACTCAGAGAATTATGGACTGGAGAATGACTATATAATCGATAATATTGTAATGACTTTGCATGATGTCAGATGGGTACTGGATTTATCATGGCCAACACCCCATAAGTTATGTAAATGCCTGATCATTGTGTGTTACACCTGAAACTAATATAATATTGTATGTCGACTCTAATTGAAAAAACATAGACAAAGATTAAAAAAGAATTGTGGATTGAGCAAAATTGTTTTTCAAAGTGAATTAGATTCAAACTCGAACTAGATAGGGCAGTGGAAAGAAATCACAACGTGAAATTCTTTAAAAATTTGTTAACTTTAAATAATTGTGCCTATGTTACACATCATTAAAAACCCTTTACGCTTAAAAAATGCATCTTAATTTTCTGCAAGTTAAAACATTTGGAGTATTAGTGGTACAAGATCATGTTCCTGTCAATTTATGGTATAATTCCCACCCGCTGAAACATCCAGAATGTGATGTCTGTTGGTTAGATTTTCAAGGAAGGAAGTCAACAGAACTGGTTTCCTCTTAGATACTTTCTTGATTTCAAATCAGAACCAGTGGTGTCTGGTCGCTGAGTGCTGTTGCATAAACTGCTGTACAAGGTTGGGTGTCTGAGTAGGGACCACTGTCCCAAATGGATCTGGCACGTACACTGCCACTGTGAAATTCTATGAGGCTAAGTTTAGAAATAAAAATTGGAATTTTCATAACTACTTGGAAACTGATTCTGCCACTTTCATGTACAGTTGCTATTGTTTACAGATTTTGCATGTATTTGTTTCTTTTGGCTGCTGGGTTGCTGTTGGCACGTAATGCTTTTCAGCAGTAGAAAACTGACTTTCCGCTGCCGTTTATCCTCTTCCCCTTTCAGCACTGAGCTTGCTGGTTTTATTAAAAAAGTGCGAAACAAAAACAAGAACTCGCTGTCAGGACTGAGTATTGATGAAATCGTCCAGAGAGTGACAGAACACATTCTAGATGAACAGAAAAAGCAAAAGGTCAGTATTTCATCCAGATACAATGGAACGTTCCACTTTATTCTGATCTGTTTATAAAACATGAGAATTATTTAAAAAACAAAAACAAACAAAAAACAAAAACAAAAAAAAAACTTCCAGCCAAAATGTGGAGAGCAGTTTGCTAAGAGAGAGGGTGGTTGGGCTCATGGGAACCTGAGCGCTCCCCACCCCGCCACTTTATCTCCACAGCCAGGTCCGGGCCAGGACGCGCAGCTGTCTGGGCCCAGCTCCGCAGCTTCTGTGAGCAGGGCCTCCCCAGGTCGGGCCGCCGTGACTGGCAGACCATTGTCCAAAACCCAGGGGCAGAAGACAGAAGACATCGCCGTGAGTGTCCCGCGTGCAACTGTGCAGTCGGTTGTGTGCATTGGTTTTCTTTTTTCAAAGAAGAACAAGAAGGAAACAAAACCGTTAATCCAGGATTTAGTCCCATCTTTCTCATTTCTAGACCTAATTTATTTGACCTTAAAATTAGAAACCAAAAGAGATGTCCTCGAGGCTCCCATCAGAGTAGGCAGTGAACAGAGAGGTCATTGTCTCCGCGCTCATGGGTTCCTGGGCTCTGGGACGAAAAGCCCCACACGTGTGATGGGCGAGCTGGGCCTGCAGACGGGTACATTCATGTTTTGTATCAAGGGTGGTGTGTTGGGTAGTTGGGAAAAGTGACTTTGGGATAATTTTCTTCTGTGCGACTGCGGCCTTTAGAGTCACACAGGCTTGGTTCCCTCACGTAGTGACACTGAGCTCTGATCACGATGGCTGTTTGGGTTGTTGTCTGGATGAAGTGCGGATTGCCAGGGCCAAGTGCTCTGCTCAGCCAAGGTGGCCGCTTCCCTTCCTGTCCCCTCAAGTGCCTGGGGGACCCTGGAATGGGCTAAAGTTACCTTTAATTCGATGTACTGGTTTAAGTGGTTTATTGTCCTTATAGACGAAAAGCATATCACATTTACATAGAACTTTAAAGAAAAATACTGTTATATCTATGATTTAAATTGGTAAATCATTGTAATTGTCTTTATTTTCCAAATGCAGACACCGAGGCACACATGGCTCATGCAGCTTGCCAGCACACATGCATTTGCTTTGAGTGCAATATGTCATTCTGTAGTCCTCACTGTCCAGGCCGGCTGATGCTAGGGACCGTGCTATAGGGACAGACGTGTGGTTGTCACTTGTGTGGCCCAGGGCCATGGGCTCCAGAGTGAGTGCTGACGTAGAGGACATGTTCCCCTTTGTGCAGCTGTGGTGTGAGCGTGTAGGTTAAATGGAAACGAGAAGGGTCGCAGGCCCCATGGCATCCTCCGCGGTGCCACGTTGCGGGTGGAGTCGCAGCGCAGGGCGGAGAGGACGAGTTTGCCCACGTGCGCTCACTGACTTGTTGCGAACTTGTCTTTATCCCTCTCCTACATTTTCACTTTCCACACCACGTGCACTCGCGCCCCAGAGGGTCTCATCCCCACCCTCGCCCCGTGAGAAAGCACATGTGCACTGGTTTATGGGCCACCCCCACCCCGAGGCAGACAGCAGTCACCTGGGGAGGGAGAGCTCTTGCTGCTGCACGGTTGATGCTGATGTAATGAAGGTGTAAAAGCTGGCTGGCTTAACAGAAAAACGTGTATTCAGACTGGGACTCAATTTGATAATCATAAATAGTTTTTTGGAAGAGTAGTGTTCATAGTAGCAAATACAAAGAGTGTTCGAACCAGCCTTTTCTATGTGCGTATATGTCAGTTTAGCCAAACTGCATATATTTTTTGTGTCCTTTTGTTTTTCTTTTCACTTAGCAGTCTGAGGTGCCACGTTTCCATGTTGAGAAACGGTCGAGTTAATCTGGATTTTTCAAGCCAAACCTGCTTCTGAGCTTTGCAGAAGCCCCGCCTGCCCTTCCTCCTGCCACGTCTGTCCCTGTGGCCGAGAGAGACAGCAAACTCCTTCAGCCCCCAGGTCTTCAGACCTCAGGCACCGCCCAGCCTCGATCCCACGGCCAGGGCTGCAGCCAGGCGCTCTAGGGACAGTACGGGCATCAGTGTGGGGCCGTGCTCCTTGCTGGCTGCTAAGGACACAGATAAGCAAGGCTCACTCTTGCCTTCAGGGTGCTCTGAGTCGGGAGGAGGGTACCAGTCAGTAAAGGTCGCCGGGCGGGGTCAGTGCCATGAGCTGCAGGGAGAGCTTTGTGCCAGGTATCCCGCATTGGCACACGACTCTGCTGTCACAGAAAGCGCTGTCTGTGCTCACCAGACTGTGAGCCGCTGGGGCCAGCACCCTTCCACTCATCTCGGTGCCCAGCACCTGCACAGTTCCTGCCCTGGATGTTTGCTGAGCGAGCCATCAGTGTGTTTTGTTTTGATTTGCACAAGTAATCCACGTTCATAGAAACTTCAGGAAACAGCAGAGACAGAAAATTAAATCTTTCTTTACCAAAAGCAACCACAGTGAACATTTTATATCTTTCTAGACTCTTGGAGGCATCTATATATGTTCTCTTTATTTTTTAAAAATTGAATTATATGATTACATGATACATGCTGTTTTGTAACCTGCTTTTATTCAGAGGGCTGTTGTGTTAGGGATTTATAAACTCCATGAGGATTTTCATCAGCCACACAGTGGTCCACGGTATAGCTGGTCATCATTTATACTATCCCCAGCTGTTTGTTAGATAATTAGACGCATGAGTGTCAGACTCAGCTAATGCCACACTTTATGGAATGGTATAGACATTTGTAGTGTTGTACGAGGGAAGCTGTTAACTGTGTAAAACACTTTTTTCCTTTGAGAAAATTAGAATTTTTAAAAAGTATACCTTTCTTTTTGTATATTGATATTTATTCCTAAGAAATAACTATTAAAAAATACATTGTTCCATCCGTCTGCTTAGCTATAATTGGGAATAATTTGCCACCTTAATGGCAAAAGTGTTCGAAGGCCACTTGCAGGAAGAGTTTATGCTGTAAAAGAGAATTTAGTGAGTTATTCAGACACATTTGTTTCCACAGGCGTTGGGTGCAGATTCCTGTGAACTATGCCACGAGCTATTCAAATCCAGAAATGTGCGTGAGCTGAAATGCGGGCACAAGTATCACAGAGGGGTACGAGCTCTCTTTGGCCATCCTCATATTATGCATTTCGACTATGAAGTATTTTGAAAACAAAAAGAGATTCGTTCATTTGTTTCCCTTGGCATCAATACTTCTTGTGTTTTCAGAGCGTTTTCTCTGTAAACCTCCTCATGTCCGTGTTCAGTGTGTCCCTTTCCCAGGATGGGCGCTGTGGGGACGGGCGGGGATCCTGGGCCCCGGGCCGGCAGCTCTGCAGACTGTCCTTTCCACGCAGGCGGCCCCATCAGCCACATTGGGGCTGGAATTCAGTATGAGTTCCTTGAAAGGTGATTTCTCACACACATGGCTAAGTAGGTACAATAGCTTATCAATTTACTGCGTTGTATGGGGTAAGTTTAACATTTTATAGGAGAAAAACTAAACCTAACTGGGTCTGTTGTGCCTGACACTGGGAGGTTCTTACTTGTAGCCTTCCAGGATTTGTGGTTAACTGTTGTGGCATTTTGGGTGCTGTGAGCATTTTTCCTGCACCCTGATTCCGGATTAGACTAGATCAGGTCTGTGCCATGTCAATTTATTAATCCCTGAGAAGAGGGATAAACACATTCACTGGAAGGAGTCAAGACAGTTTGTCTCCTGTGTGGCCTGCCTCCATTGAGCATGGGGGTGTCATGCCCCGGCTCTAAGACTCCACACTCAACCCCAGGGCTGTGGCAGCAGCAGGCCAGCAACTTGGGACCACGATAGGCAGACAGGCCCCAGTCAGGGCTGCAGTGTACGGGCTGCCGGGGTGTGCGAGGACCAGGACCGGGCATGGGTGAAGAATTGGATGAGTGAGTCCGAGTGCCAAGACGAGCAGGAATCGAGGGGTCAGAGAAGGGGAGTGAGAGGCCATCCCACCGAGGGCAGGTCAGAGGCCCCACTGTTCATGGGTCAGGTTGTGAGGCTGGATTATTCGTGTCCTAGAGCTTGGTCCACACTCTTAGCATGAGCTGGCTGCAGTGTCCCTAAGTGCTGGGCAGCTCCAGACCCCCACCAGTCTCCAAGGTGAAGTCAGCTGTGTGTGCGGAGGAGCAAGCAGCACGGGAGAGCTAAGGCCCCACGCGCCCCGTTGCAGTGTCCCTAAGTGCTGGGCAGCTCCAGACCCCACCAGTCTCCAAGGTGAAGTCAGCCGTGTGTGCGGAGGAGCAAGAAGCATGGGAGAGCTGAGGCCCCACGCGCCCCGCAAGCCACTGACCGATTCATTTTCTCCTTTTCAGTGCTTTAAGCAGTGTCTGAAAGGACAGAGCGCCTGCCCGGCCTGCCTCGACCGTGACCTCCTGCCAGGAGACTAGCTTGCACCTTTGGGGAGAGGCCGCCTGCCCTTCTGGGCAGTCACGGCTCTTGAAGGGTAACGTACTGGTTTGCTGAATTGGGAGAGTAACAGTGTACGCCTGTGATGTGAAGGGCAGACATCTGAAGAGTCTTCACACCGAGTCACAGTGCTAATACATGGACATCTTTAATATCGTTGAGAGTAAGTCATTTCCCCACTCTGATTAAACACTTCGGTGAGAGTCAAGTGGCGGGGAATGAAATCCGTGCGGCCACATCCTATTGTTGGGCCGCGGAGGTGCTCGGAGACAGAGGCAGCTTTCGGGAAACACGGTGAGGGCCTCAGCGGAACTTGTGTCTTTGACCTACAGAGTGCCCAGGTTAAAATGTCTAAGAGTCACTGTTATGAGCCTCCATTTTTCTTCAGAGATTCCGCATTTAAAAATGGGCTTAAGCAAGCCACATTTTAATAATTTGTAGTTAATGTTAAAATTTTGGCTCATTTAGACCAAAAGATTCAAATCTGTTCTTCATGAAACATATGGTTGTGATTTTTCATTTTATCATTTTATTTCCCCAAAGTAGATGTGTAACGTGCTCAATTTTCATCATCCGAAAAAATGTGGTTTTTGAAAATCGATTACAAACCACTTCCTTGAATCAGCCAAAACTTTTTCACCCCTAAAATCGAGGCCCCATATTCATCACCACCAACCCACGTTTGGAAATTACTCTGTCTCCCTTACTGTTCTCCTTAGTGGCATTCGTCCTGCTTCATGAGTTAGACAAGTGTTTGGCTGTCTCTATTTAGCTCCCAATAGGCACTGTGGCAAAGTCACCATTCCCTTCCTTATCCCACCACCAAAAAGAGATGCTGTGTCATCAGACAATCCCGAGGTGTCCCTTTTACAATCGTTTCGTGTTTGACATTTCTGTGACGTAATGCATGCATTCTTGTACTGTGGCCTTGAGAACACGACTGTAACTCCATTAGAAATTTAAAAATTTAGGTATCTTCAGTGACCTATAGACAGTGGTAAAAATAAGAACACGAATTCTGGACAAATTCCATTTCTCTCAAACAGGAAAGATTACAAAATGTTTTTCAGTGTGTTCTTTGTCCCCCTGAGAGCTCACAGTCCCAAGTTCATGAGCAGATTTTGTCGCCTTCCTCCGCCTCAGTTCCCATGAGTTTCGATGTCTTAGTGACTTAGTCCATAGTTTACTCCATATTCTGAAGCAGATTCTCCATGCAGGTCCCTAAAACGTCAGTATGTTCATGATAACTGAGAACAGTAGATACGAAGATACGTAGGGACCAGTTTGCAGCAGCTGGAAAGTGAGAACGTGTTTTGCACATAACTTCAAACAAATATTTGTGAATATGTCCTGTGAGTGTCAAAATAAAGAGCGTTATAAAATGACATTGGCTTCCTGTCATGCTTATCCGTTCTTTATCAAATAATATCTAAAGAGGGTTGTACTGGAAAATTCAAGATACCTGTTATGCCAGTAGTTTTAAAAGCGACTTCACTTGGAAAGAGCCACGTGACGTCCAAGGATCTTAGGACATTTTAGAGCCTGGTTCAGAACATTCCTTTGAGCCTAAATAAAAGTCACTGAACTCAGGCTCATAAGATCAGCTATTTAGGTTTATGAATGGAAAGTTTACAGAGATGATAGAAAATTGACTGTTTTAGGCTAAAGGGACTTTTCATATGAACACGTGTAAGAATGTTGACGTTAAAGTGCATTCCTCAATATTGTTTTTGTTTGTTTTTGAGGCACCTGTTGGATCGAGGACTGCAGCTGAACAGTAGGGTTTTCCTCTCAGAAGGCCTGGGTGTGCTGAGCACTAAGGGATGATTAAAGAAAACCAGTGTTATCACTATATGTTTTTAATCTCATAGCATTTAATTCAAAATAATGTAAAATTTATAGCAGTGGCTGTTCCTAAGGGTACAGGTTATTGTCTCTGCTGAGCTGCTTTATCTGTGCTATAAGTTATGGATAATCCAATACGAGATTGGAACAGTGCCCCAGCAGTGCAAACTGTGACCACATTTTTAAGGTAATTTCAAAGGTGGGCAGAGCGATCAATACACCACAAAACTGAGGCATTGAAAAACTGTTGGCAGGTAGTTTTTCAATCAGATGACCCTCTCTAGAGAAATGGATTAAAGGAAACAGGTAGAAGAGAGTAACAAAGATGGAAGTTTCTTTTGTCAATGTGAGGTGCTTGCTGATGAGGCCGATGGGAAGCAGACCACCAGTGAGGTGGATGAGATAAGCTGTCAGATCCGGGACCTAAAACATCTCCAGCGTGGCCCTCATGAAGAAAATGGGAAATAGAGTTAGGTGTTTTAAACTTTAATAAAATTTAACCAAACTTTATTAAAAGAATAATTATGCAACAGTTGGTCAGTCATGTCTAATTTTTATTTTCTCTTCACTCTGACTCGGTCTTTCGGGAGTGAGGTCCACCGTCATGTAGCCATGCACCTTAGGTGCTTCGCGGAGGGTCCTGGGCCAGGCCTGGCAACCAGAGAAGATGACTGTGTGCAGAGGACCCGCCGCGGGCACGGTACAGGTAGTTTGGTACGGCGGCGAAGGAGAGACAGGTACCCATGAAACTCGTCTTCTGACTGAACAGACAATAGAATTGTAATTTGGGGTAGTGAGAAGGGCTTTGGAGAAGCAGTGAGGGAGGCATAAAGATTAAGATTCTTGTAAAGTGTTTAGCATGGGACCTAGTACATAAACCCTTGCTAAAGGGCAGCTGGTAATTGTTACCAAGATTAGAGCCTAGAAATTGCACGGGGAGAGCTTGGTGGTTCTGTATAACGGGTCCCCAACCCCTGGGTGTGGACCGGTACCGGTCTGCGGCCTGTTAGGAACCGAGCGGCATAGCAGGAGGTGAGCAGTGGGCGGACCAGCAAAGCTCTGGATCTGCAGCCGCGCCCCAGCACCAGCATCACCGCCTCAGCTCCACCTCAGATCATCAGGTGTTAGATTCTCATAAGAGCATTGGTCCCTGGTGCCAAAAAGGTTGGGGACCACTGCTGTATGAGAAAGTCTTTGTTAGATTAGAAAGTAGATTTCTTCAGTGTGGCCTAGACTGCAGTGTGATCTAGTGGGGGAAAAAAACAAGAAATCAAATCACCTGTCACTGTGAAAACAGTTTGTTCCTGAAGTTTCCCCAAGTTGACTGGAGACGCTGATTGTACAGCAGAGCATTTCATCTGACTTCCACAGAGCACTGGGGTTGGTTGATAGGCATTTTGATAGCCAGACTTGTTCAATATCCATCATCAGGGAAATGTGAATTAAAACCACAATGAGATACTACTAGATATCCACCCGGATGGCTAAAATAATAAAAGACTGACGATACAAGTGTTAGGATGTGGGGACCTCCATACACTGTACAGCCACGTGCCAGGGTCTGCCGACAAACGCATGCAGTAGTGCTTCATTCACAACAGCCCCAAACGAGAACCCGAAGGTCCCTCAGTGGCATGAATCGTGGTACATCGTACGATGGAATGCTTCTCGGTTATGAATACAGCACAGCTGTTTCGAAACGTGACAGCAAAGCAGCCAGACAAGAGAAGTCCGTTCACGTGGACTTAAGAAAGGAAACCGGTGGGGGAGGTCAGTCGTGGCTGCCCTGAGGTGATGCCACAGACAGAAGTGGGTCGAGGTACTGCCGGGGCTCAGGAAGTGGTGGTTCTTCCACTGAGTGATGCTTACCTGAATGTGTCATGTGGAAAGTTCGTGGAGCTGTCCATTTAAAAATGAGTGCACTTGTTTGTAGCTGGTTTTCGATAAAACTAAATGACAAAAGCCCAAATGAGTTCTGGGCCCAGGAGACGTGGCGATTATGACGGTCCCTCAGAGCTCCCGGACAGGCTGCTCCTACAGCTGCCCACGCAGCGCTCACTCGTCAGACTGGAAGCCCACGCACAGTGGGTGCTCCTACCCAGGTGGCCAGCAGCGACAGCCTTCCAGCTGTGACAACCGCACAGTGTTCTTCAGGAGCCACCCTGTAGGGTGGAGAAGGACGGGGGTCTGCTGCCAAACTCGTTATTGCCACTGAATTCAGAGCAAAAATGCTGAAGACGCACCTTGCTTGGGAGGCGGTGCGAGTGGTCTCGGATTTGCCGGGCACGGGCAGGTGGGATCGTCTGCTTTGCAAGGGCCAGTTGTGCCATCGTCCTTGGCCTGGGCACAGTCGGTGCTAGAGTCGGCTGCCACTGGCCGTAGAAGCAAAGGCAGTTGCTTCCTGATGACAATTTATCATCGTCTGCGCTTCGGGAGGTTGTCGACGTATATAGTGTCCGTACGTTGGAAATACGTGACGGGACTCCATGCATCTCTTTTCAAGGGTTTACACCACAGAAATGGGCAAACGCTGCCAATCGGGGCTCCCCCACCAGGGCTGCCCAACCCCGCTAGAGAGCCTGTGAAGGCAGGAGTTCCACCCAGTGGTGCCGAAGGTGCCCTTTAGACCTTTCTCCTTTCACATGTGACATGGTGGTTAGGGGACTCGAACAATAAACCCTTCTGAGACGATCTCTGCTGAACTAGCTCCTTCCCGCTGCTCTGTTTGGCAAGGTCCCCACTCTTGCAGCCGTGGATGCCCTCTGTCCTCTTGAATGGGAGCCCCATCCTGGTCTGCTCCTGTTTGCCATCCTGGAAGGAGGAAGCACTGCTCACCACTGTTCCCGGGGCGTGCTGGCCCAGAGACACGGGCCCACACTGTCCTTGACCCTGCCTCCTGATTCCTTCTCAGCCCCTCCCAGCAGCAACTTTGGTCCCCGTCACGCCTGGCCCTGCGGCAGGTCCTCTGCTGGAAACCAAGGAAGACAGCTTTCCTGCCTCAGGAGGAAGCAGGTAAATCCAATGCAGGTGTGCTTTGGGGGTGCCAAGCAAGAAACAACCACGAGGACACCGCCAAGCGAAAGGCAGCTCATCGTTCCTCCCTGGAGGGGGACCGGGCTTGAAGCCAGCCCAGCCCTCGGCCTTGCCACCAGAGCCCTCACAGCAGAGGGCCGAGGTGTGTCCCTCGGCTCCTGTGGCCAGACGCTTCAAAGAGAAAGGTTTGCTCTCTCTAACGTGCTTTTGTGTCAAACAGAGGTGTCATTGTTTTCAGCAAATACCTGGGGACTTAAGGGAATAAATACCATTCTGTTTTCTAACTTAGTTCCTCTCCGTTTTTCAAAAGTTATGTATAAAGGCATTTTGCCTAATTCCTTCAGCCCTTTCAGCTTCTATTTATTTGGTGTGATAGAAAGGTCTTAATTTAGATCTCCCTGCTACCAGTTCCAAGCTTCGTGTCCTGAAGTGCCTGCCCCCGCCCCCCTCCCTTCCAGTGGGGCGGGCCAACAGCCTCCGGAAAAAGAAAGCAATTGAACAGGTTGACATTGTGCTTTCAGACGCCGGCTGCCGTCCCAGTGCCAGCAGGGCCCCGGCTTTTACTGGAGCCTCTTCGGAGGCCACGCTGCTTTGCTCCCAGTTTCAAAGGTCGGACTTTTGGAAGCTGAGGCTTAACGGGGGCTACTCTTCCCCACCCGTCCCCATCCCCATCCCCCGTGAGACACATGGCCGTCTAATAATGTTTCCTGGGCTGTTATGAGACTGCTTCCTCCCTCCATGTCCCAACTTAGGCAGAGACCTTTCCCCCAACTTTCAGGTCTGCGAGGAGCCTCCCTGCACCCCAACCGTGCTCTCTGGGAGCGAACCATGTGGCCCTGGGCATTATGATGGGCCACTGGACTCCAGTACACCCACTGCTCACTTGTTCACTCAGCCATGTGGTCTTTATTGCGGGCACTGTTCTAGGTGCTGGAGAGACAACGGGGAACAGGGTGGGTGAAAGGGTGTCCTCAAGTCTTCGGCTTCGCAGGAGTGGGGATTGCCACCTCCGAGTACGATACTCAGCTGCGTAGCATGGCATTCGGAATGGGAGAGAAACAGCTGGGGAAGGGGTGAGGGAGTGTGGGGCGTCACAATTTTAGAAAGGCCAGGAAAGGTAATATGTGAGCACGGCCCTGAAGGAGGCAGAGGAGGTGGGGGTCTGGTAGCCCAGGCAGAGCAGGGTGGGGGGTGGGGGAGGGAGAGGGCTGGTAGCCCAGGCAGAACAAAAGCATGAACAGCCTGTGAACGGAAGAGAGCGAAGAGGCCAGCGTTACCCCCGATCAGATGAACTGTGGAGAGGCAGGAGGTTTCCATGCAGGGATAGGGCACCTGGGGACAGGGGACGGTGTGGGGGAGTGAGCGCTTGGGCCTTGGGCCCAAGACCAGCCAGCGTGCAGGCACTTCAACAGCTGGCAGGCATTACAGCTCACTGGTGAGCCCTGGTCAAATACCGGCACTGCGTGTGGGCTTGGACTCAGAGACGGGCCTGGGGGCCAGGCTGGGG